CACATTTATGATAATACATATTCGCCTATTGGAGAAAAACCATTTGTAAATAAAGTTTAATTTATATCGGTGCTTTTTCAACAAAAAAAAAATACCACAATATCTTTATTATTTCGATTTGCGTTCGACTTTAAAAATAAAATTCGTGAAGGTCACGGGCACATTGCTTACCTTTCCCGATTAAACAAAAAAAACAACGAGCTATAGATACATTTCGAATGCGATAAACTTAGTTTTAAATCATAAAGAACCTTTCTTTATGGAAAAGGATTTTTTTCACCAAATTTCCTTTCTATTATCAAAATCATTTCGATTCACAACAACAAAAAAAAAAACAATAAATAAATAAGAAAGAACGCCGGAAGCAAATGGACGCTTCACTTTAGAAAGGATCATCATCGCAAAGAAGAAGCGGCATAAAGAGGCCGAGAGATCGACTTTCACTTTTAAATGCGGCAAGAGACTCGGCTCGAAGAAGGTTATGACATCACCATCACTACCATCAACGCCATCATATCTTTAAATTTTTTTTAGCTAACTTTCGCGGTTAATTTTAAAATTTAAAATTCACACCGAGAATGTTTTACAACCGGAAATACACACCGACGTTAAATAAATTTATTCATAGCGTTCTTAGAAATTTTACGTTTCGAATATTTTACTTATTCAATTAATAACTATAACATTCTTTCAATTAGTACTGGATTTTTTTAATAGTTTCACCTTTATAATGTTGTATAAAATTATATTACACTTAACCTATTAGTATTAAACAACACACACACACACAAGCGATACCACTTTCTAGTATACGTTAAATAACGCTTTTACGTAACTATATTGCTGCTCTTTGTGTGGTGTGTTGAAGAGAATGTGTGCCATCGTAACTCAATATTAAAACGTCGCGTTCACGTTACGAGCGTTAATTAGTACAAAACAATTAAAAAGGTGTTCAGTTTTCATTTTGATCCAATTTAATATTGCAAAAAATTTGATTTAAAATTTATGGATTATAATGAAATGAGCTTTTTATTGACAAACTATTAATCATAATCTATCTCTAGTTGTTGTAGGACATTAAGTTGAAGTTGAATCTATAAAGAATCTGAAAAGACTGTACTGAGCAAAAACGACCAAGAACCAAGTATACAAAGAAATTTCCCAAAAAGAAAAATAACTCCAAAACCAATATTAGAATCTTGCAGTTTTTCAATAAGAACTAACTCCGTTATCTTCTGTGCTAGACACTACCAGAACTGGTTTTTAACGAAGATTCATTTCCAGTTGTTTTCATAGGCACCATCTCGGATGTGATTGCCGAATCTTCAAAATGTCGTAGGATCATAGAGAAAAAGATTAGGAAGCTATTGCTTACAGATTACATAAGATCTATAAGGAGTTTTAGAATCAACCCAAGATCTTATGTTACAAAATGGCTGACATTCAAAGACTTGACTTAACACTCTAATTTCTCGTAGCGTACTGGTAGCATAACATCTTTCATTTAGACTGCACCATAAGATGTAACATCAAGTTTTCGCCTAATGATGACCAATTACTAACATTTCTTTGCCAATGGATAAATGGCATCAAAAGCTTCAGACTTCTAAATGAAACTTTGTTGTAATGTTGTTGACTAGTTAGAAATATTCAGAAATCAATATCGGATTGAATAGAGCTAATATCAATTATTTTACCAGTTAATTTTCTGCCAATACTTGAAAATTGTTGTTGAAAATGTAACAAAAATTTTGATGATACAAAAAATATCATGTCATTAGCTTGGTTTAAAACTCAACAAGGCATGGTAGAATCGTAAGATCTAATCAAAGACTGGCTAAACTATTTTAATCGGAAAAACAAGTTTAGAGAAGGCAACCTTGACATCTTAACAAATACCAGCTATAACTCCAACAATTCAAAATGCATTACAAATTTAGAAAGATTTGCAAAGATAGTTCAAAGACGCCGCATGAAATTAGTGGGCGAAAACTGCACCAATAAAATAGGTTCTGTGATGGGAGCAAAATTCAGCTGATGATAAAGTCAAATGACTACCTCCAGCGTCGATAAATCATCAGTTAAAATTTTCGTAGAATATACAAAACACCACATCTTCTCAAATGTTACTATTTGTTAGCAGCTATTCATTACGATTGTGCAGATTCAGTATATCTTGCTACGACAAGATTGCAGCAAATCAATTTAAATGTTAATTAAGCAGAAGGATCTTAAGAGAAACCACATATCTTGTGCAACACCACGTAATTTAAATACATAAAGCTTAGTTATCTTAGGACAATGCATGGTTGAATGATCCAGATAACAAAACACATAAATTAATGATACATTGCCAATTAATGAAACCATTGTGGTGGAAATGATTTGGTCCATAAAAGTATTCACTTCTTGGAGTTAAGTCGTCTAAATGTTTTTTTACAGTTTTTACTGTGTAGATGGGTTGGCAGAAGTATTCTATTATATTGCCATTATTAATTGTTGCTACATTTTCGGCAACAACTTAACGCAAAGTCACTTAATAAACTGTTAATAATAGGAATGAGCATAACTACATAACTCAATTTATGGAAAGTTTCCGCTACATTAATGAGAGTATCATTTTAGTCCATGAACCTTAGTAAGGTTGTTGGAGAAGACATAGATAATTAGAAGTACTTACCACCAACATGATTATTCAAAGATAAGTCACGTCAATGTAAACAAAAATTCCTATCTTTGAAGTATTAGGCTTAAATGCTTGAATTAGTTTCCATATAAATATAAAAATATTTAAGGCATTGACATTGAGAAGGTTGTAAGTTGAGGTTGTTAAAAAAGAAAAGATGTTGAATATTTCTTCTCGAGAAGACTCTTCATGCAGAATTTGTAAAGTTTTCCAAACACAACCTCACTTAATTTGTAAAAGAGTGTTATGCGAGCAATATGAAAGTCTTTGAAAACCAAAGCTTCGGCCATGATACATGAAAGACTTCTTTGTCTTGGAACAGCAAACAAAGCCTTCAGTATAACCAGAGCCGGAAGAAATTGCATAATTTATTACATAATCTCCAAAGTACTTGGTTGCGACCAAGAAAATTTAAAGAATGAAGAATAAGATTAAGACGTACTCCAGAAAAATGGTTATAATATATGATAAGTATTCATATGTAGTACGAAACAAGGGAAAGTTAATTCCTAATTTGAAATTGTTGATTTGAAATTTCGAGGTACTCACATATGTCGAAATTTAGGGATTTCGGTGTAATTAAGCAAGAAAATGGAAGAGACACTGAGTCTACTGACATTACACCAATACAAGATCTATATTCAACGTGCTACATGATCATAGAAACGTGGGAGAGTCACAAAAAGTAAAAGTAAAAAAGCTTTATTAGCTTATTGCAACATTATCTCAATATTTATTGCAATATGGTAGATTTGAATGAAGATAGCTGTAATCAGTATCGAATAGTACTTGAGTCAAGTCCCAACTTGAATATACAAGGTACTTAGTCAAAGTATGCAGAACTTGTAAAGTTTTCTAATCACAACCTCACTTAATTTGAAAATCAAAGCTTCGGCCATGATACATGAAAGACTTCTTTGTCTTGGAACAGCAAACAAAGCCTTCAGTATAACCAAAACCGGAAGAAATTGCATAATTTATTACATAATCTCCAAAGTACTTGGTTGCGACCAAGAAAATTTAAAGAATGAGATTAAGACGTACTCCCGAGGAATAATTACATTATAAGTATTCATGTATATGTAGCACGAAGCAAGCGAAAGGAGGATTATTTTTGTCTCAAAAATGGCACTTTAGGCAAAAATGGTTTTGTTGGGAAGGTATCTGTTGATTTGAAGTTTCAAGATACTCAAATGTCGTAATAAAACGATTTTGTTGTAGTTAAGAAAAGAAAATGGGTTCAAAATGTAAAATGGAAGAGACTAAGTCAATTGACATTATTTTAAGATCTATATTCAGCGTGATACATGAGATTTATTGCAATATGGTAGATTTGACTGAAGATAGCGATTAATCGCCGAAATCAGTATCGAATACTCGAGTCAAGTTCCAACTTGAATATACAAGGTTATTTAGTCAAAGTATTCCCATTACCTTATCTCACAATGTCACGATGCAGAACTTGTAAAGTTTTCTAATCACAACCTCACTTAATTTGAAAACCAAAGCTTCGGCCATGATACATGAAAGACTTCTTTGTCTTGGAACAGCAAACAAAGCCTTCAGTATAACCAGAACCGGAAGAAATTGCATAATTTATTACATAATCTCCAAAGTACTTGGTTGCGACTAAGAAAATTTAAAGAATGAGATTAAGACCCAAGCGAAAGGAGGATTATTTTTGTCTCAAAAATGGCAGTTTAGGCAAAAATGGTTTTGTTGGGAAGGTGTTTGTTGATTTGAAGTTTCAAGGTACTCGAATGTCGTAATAAAGAGATTTTGTTGTAGTTAAGAAAAGAAAATGGGTTCAAAATGTAAAATGGAAGAGACACTAAGTCAATTGACATTTATTGCAATATGGTAGATTTGACTGAAGATAGCGATTAATCGCCGAAATCAGTACATATTTGAATTTAGATTTTAAAGAAAACAATCTTAATGAATTTCTCAATGGAAAGCATTGAAGTAATGAAATAAGATAAAATTGGACTCTTTTTTATCCGTGTTTGATTTTTGATATAATTAAAATTTTAAAAAGGTAAACCTTGCCAGGAATGATTCGTTTTTTTGCGCGCATTGCCCGGTTCGTTTCAGTAAAAGTAAAAGTTACGTAGGCGTGGTTTAACGTTAAAGGTCACAGTACGGTTTCTTTTTAGTTGATAAAGGTCGTTGTTTTTACGGAAACAATCATATCGAATTGTTAAATGTCTTTCCTCCATATGGGAGTTAAAAAAAATAAATCATCGTCCATACTTTATATTTACAACGTAACCTGGGCGTACCTAACCTCAACAAATCGTTTTTTTTTCCTTACCTTAAGCAAGCCATACGCCGCTAAAGACTGAACAATAAAAGAAGACCTCGACAGCAATCCTTTCGTCTTTTCCTTCTTTTTTCCCGCTTAACTTCCCGTTTAACCTCTCCTTCCTTAAAATCCGTTGAAAGATTCTTTTACAATGACAAACCGTCGACGATTCACAACGACTTTTTTTTCTTTAGCCGGGAAAAAATGTTTCCCTTTTAATTTCAAATTTATAACCGCATCGTTTGATAAACCCACGACTTCTAATGACACAATCTACCGAAAATTGGAAGTATTTTTTTCTTCGTCGTCGTATCTTGTTCTTTGTTCGCTAGTTTTTAACGGACAAAGAGTCTGTTGAGTTGCGCGTTGACTGCGACAGTCTTTCAATCGACGACGGTTCGCGGGACAATGAACGGCAGACGGACGAACACGGCATCGAGAACCAGGGGGCGGCGGTAACAGCGGGGAGATTGTGTCGAGGGGGCGACGGATAAAGGGGGCCCGTTGCCGGTAAACGAAGGGGGGCGTACCACGTGTATATCGACTCTATAAAACACGGTGTGCGCTCTGCTCAAGCACAACCCTTAACCAAATTCTGCAGCCCCTCTAAAAAGTTTCAAAAACTTTCATAAAAGACAACCAATTTTATTTCTTAAAATTTAAATTAATTTAACGAAAAAAAAAACTTACGTGATTAAAGCGTTTTCTTTCTTCCTTCTCCTTAATTTCGGTTAAAAAAGAATACATAAAACACAACCAATTAGTAAACTATACAATGAAAAATAAACTTAACAAAATGTTATATCTCTGACGGAGCAAAAGAAGTTTCACCACCGTTGTTATTCTGTGTTAATGCACACCGGTTCGACACAAGAATACAAGAACAAGAATATAACCGCCTAAGAAACAAGATCGCTAGCGACATCTATGCAGCGGGAAAGTTTAAATTTTACACCTCACTTATTAAAAAGATAAATTTTAAAAAATGTTATCAATCAAGAAATTGTTGATTTTTATTTTAATTAATTAACTAAAATACATTACAACAATAAACAAAAACTTCCTGATAAATAATCTTTGTTGACATTGAGATTAATTTGTTTAAAGATTCATAGTTACCATGGAAATAAAAAAAAAAAACAATTGCTATTAGTCACCGTTTATCAAATCAAAACAGACGCTTTGTTAATTTTCGTCCAAAAACGACGCCAAAAAGATGTTTTTTGATAAGAATTATTTATCCGCAGAGTAATTATTCCAATTATCCCGAAAGAAGTAGATATCAAGATTATATTGAAGCCCAAAGGTGAGTTTAACATTATCTCGTCAAAAAACATAACCTTAAATAAGCACAAAAAGAAAAATACTAATTTAATCGTTTATTTTATTAATAAATGAAGTATATTTATTTAACTTTATTAATCATTATTTATTTAGAGAGTGAACACAAAGAGTTTATACACGATTGTGGGTTTAAATTTGATAAAAGAGACAAATGAGGAATCACATCCTACCTTATTCATAAAGAAATTGAGTGAGGAGACTCAAAATGAGACAAAAACGACAACAAATACAGGGTCTGTCACGAGGAGCTGAGTCTATATGTACAGGATGGGCCAAATTGGACACTTTTAAAGGGAAACTCTTCGTTTTATAAGACATAGAGGAAAAATGATATCAGTGTCTGAGGCTCGATTTTTATAAGAAATTTATCTCTTACGGTTTCAGAGATACAGGTGTTTTTCAAAAAAGTGCATTTTCGAAAAGTCGTCATAACTTTTTTTTATTGAAAACATCTCCAAAGAAACTTTTTATGTAGAATTTTGTAATATTTTAGTAGTTATTGACATAAAAATGATTTTTTTAAATGGAACACCCTATATATTTTTGCAAAACACTTGATATTTCGGTCAAGTCTTCTCTAAAAACTTTTAAGATTTTCAATTGCGTATTAGTGGGTTTTGACGGCGCTTCGATACAACAAATACATTGTTGATCTATCTGTCAAATTTTGATTCAAGTTATAAGTGTTAGTGCTAATCGTTAGAGTATTTCTTAGTTGTCATCAATTTTCATAATAATATCATATGAAAATTGTAAAAAAATGGATCAATTCGAAAAGTAAAGATCAAAAACTTATACACCGAATGAAGACAGGCAATTAGAAGAAGTAGTAGTTTTAGGGGCACAGATATCAACGCGGCAATTGAGTGTAATCACGGGAATTCCAAGAACCAAACCTAGGTGGATTTTGAAAAAATTCAGATTTAAGCCATACAGAACTAGCAAAGTCCAATACCTAAGACCAGGGTATTTTGAACGGCGCATGAATTTTTGCCAATGGTTCTTGGGAAAATGTGACGAAGCACGCAATTTTTCTTTAAATTGTATTTGGACAGATGAAGCGTATGTGAGTAGTGCTGGTATTTTGAACATTTAATTGTGGAGCGGAGGAATCAAGGAAGGTTTGGTTTTAGCGTATGGGCAAGGATTTTTAGAGGTCGAATTATCGGTCCATTTATTTATGATGGTTCCCTCACCTCCGCAAAATATTTGGACATATCATTTATAAGGCAACAAATTGAACCTGTTGTTGACGATTTACCTCTAGAGAAATGTATTGTTTCAAAATGATGGCGCGCCGCCTCACAATGCTGCTATTGTCACCAATTTTTTGACCGCAGCTTTTGGTGATTGTTAGTTAGGTAATCAAGGTCCTATTCGTTGGCCGACTCGGTCACTGAACCTAATACCTATGGATCTTTTTTATGGCTTTCGCCATTAAGTTTCTTATAAAAATCGAGCCTCAGACAGTGATATCATTTTTCCTCTATCTTTTATAGAAAGAGGTGTTTCCATTTAAAAGTATCCAATTTGGCCCACCCTGTACAGTGAAGGACAAAAATCTACATAAAGCATTGAATTATCTCAATATTTCGTTGGCCTTCCATGAACTTCTATAACAACTAAATTTCTTGTCCCTTCTGTTGTTATCTCAGCCCCCGATTCGACTAACGCAGATTTTAGTGTTTCCGCATCGGTGATTTAGCATCTTATGTCCCAAAAGCTCCCAAACATACTCGATTAGATTTAAATCCGGACTCTGAGGAGATGTATTCAACTGCCTGGGTGTATAATACTACAACCAATGTTTGATAAGGTTTGGTTAACGTTTGATTGGTTTCAAATTTTGTGCTAAAATGGTTTTATAATTATACTGATACATAATTCCATCAATAAATGCCAGATTTTCCTACACCAGATGCTGTTATCGCTTCCCAAACCATGACACTACCTCCGCCGTGCTTTGCAGTTGGTACCCAATTTTGCAACTTCATCGCCGTGTTTCGTTTCTTCCAACTTTTAAATAAATTAATAAATTATTAAGTCCATGTAACGACAGTTTTTAAAACACAATATTTCGTTGGTCCTCCATGAGGTTCTATAATAGCAGAGATCATGGCATTGAAACAACTAAGTTTGTTGTCTCTTCTGCTATTATTTCAGCCCAAGATTCGAATAACGCAGATTTCAGTGTTTTGGCATTTATGATTTAGCATCTTACATCCCATAAGCTCCCAAACATGCTCAATTGGATTTAAATCCAGACTCTGAAGAGGTGTATTCAACTGCCTAGGTGCATGATATAACAACCAATGTTTTATAAGGGTTGCTTAAGATTTGATTTGCTCATACATAGTTCTATCAATAAATGCCAGTTTTCTTGCACCAGATGCTGCTATCGCTTCCCAAACCATGACTCTACCTCCACCGTCCTTACAGTTGGTACCAAATTTTTCAACTTCATCGCCGTGTTTCGTTTCCTCCAATTTTTTGCACAACCATCACTTCCAAAAAGGTTGTACTTCGACTCGTCAGTAAACTAAACCCTGGACCAGAAGTCCATTCACTTGTCGACATGAGATTGAGCAAATTCTAGTCGAAGACTAACTCTAGGGTTTTTGCTCACTTCTTTTAATATTAATATCTCTTCTAGAAAGTTTCTTTGGCCGGCCTGTACGAATTTTGCTAGCGAATGAATCAGTCTCGGTCTGGACTGTTGCTCAGTTTAGATTTACAATTTTGGCAATTTCGCCGTAAGGTTTCTTTTCTTTTCGATGCTTTATCATCAATTTTCTAATTTTAACAGCGCAATGCCACGTACTTTATGCAACTCCTACTTGATTTCTTTAACTCAAATGCATTGTATATACACTTTTGTCGTGTTAGGTTTTTTTGTAGCATTTTTTTGTAGCTATTGAGCGATTTTTTTTTGTGAATAAGTAAGCATGTCTAATCACATTGTAATACTAATTTCCTATTATCTTATTATGTTTTAGAAAAACCTCATAATGGGTAAGAAGGTAATAAGGTAGTCTTTATGCCCAAAGGTGGATGATGTTCAAACGCCGATCCTAAGGAATACAGATCTAATAGCCCAACTTCCTTTCTCCTCAAAGGGATGGAACAAGTACTTGATCAATATCTTAGGAATGGAGTGCTTGTTAACAATCTACTTCATCCAAGTCAACATTCTTATCAGAAAGTAAAATCGAAGGAGACAAATAGAGGAAACAATGGCACCAAAGAGATAGCCCTATGTGCATTAATAGATATAGAGGGTGCTTTTAATAATACCTCCTATGAATCCCTGGGCATCACTACTCACAATAAAGATGTTGATGGATCTAAGTTTTGATGCTCGCATAATGAAACATCTAGCATACAATTAGCTGGTTTTCTTCATTGTCGCGTATCCATAATAGTATGTCATGAACTGGTTGGATGTGCGAACTTCACCTGTAGAATTAGTACCTACCATTTGGAGTCTTTGCCATACTTCCAAAAACTCACAAAAAATGAAACACCTTCTATCAAATACCACAACAACCTAGAAACCATCAAAAACACATCCTCGCAGTTCACTTCGTTTATAGTGAACTTCACTCTTGCTATACCCAATATAATTAGTCGTTTAATGTCTTTAATATCCTATCTCAAGATGTGTGAATGACAGCAATCTTAGCCAACATTCAAGGCTAAGACCTTTCATAAATTTAATACGGTTATCAAATTTTATGGTTGTTCGAGAAGATTACTTCAATATAAATGAAAGCTTGTATTAAAAGAGAACGTTGTCATAGAAGTACAAAAAGTAAATAATAAGTAAAAAAGAAACATTGAGTACATTAATCATGTTGATGTCAACAAGATATCCTGTTTGTCTAAAACAAAAAAAAATAAAAAAGTGTTCAGTTAGAATCCCGACAACGGGGTTCTTGTCCTAAACGGAATTTCCCGAAACGTTTCAAGGGCGACGACATTGATTTTTCGTCACCCCCTGGACCTTTTCCGGAATTGAACTGCGCTACAGGTTGAAAGCTCTTGAAGGGAGCAGAAAAAAAAACCTTTTACTTATATAACTTTTTTTAAGCGATTTAAAAGAAAAGAAGAAAGAAATTGATTTACAACGTTCGTTTTTGCTTATTTGCTTTCGTTTTTTTTTTATTCGAGTTGCGGTTGTTGTTATCGTTGTGTTAGGGCGACGACTCGGCCGGACGCGGAGTCTAAAAACGATCGATAAAGCTGCCGATGGTGGAGGAGAAACGCAACGCGCCATGCCCTACCGTAACTTAACGCGCCCCCCAAACGACAACCGGAAATAAATTATAACCGATATCGACTTTGCACAGTGATGATTCATTTCTTTGGGAAACACTATTTCGAATAGAAAAACAAAAAATGTAAAATATAGAGTGTTAGTAAATCACACTTAAATTGAGTGAAATAGAGATAAGAAATTGATGTAATCTACAGGGAATATCAAAAATTTTTAATCACTAATACTTTGTATTTGTATATGTTTAGTTTTAATGTTTATTTGTTGCAGGTTTTTATTAAAGAGTTATTATTTAGAGGTCAATCAAACCCGTGCCGTGTAAAGCCGCAGGACAGTCATGGCAAAAGCGACGAAGAGGACAACGGCTGGCTGCAGGTACCGGGTGTTAGGGACCTGTGACCTTGGCCGGGGGTCCTTTACACTGCGCAGTCGCATATTTCCACGGCCAGTGACACCCGCCGCCGCCGACCGGCTTCTGCTCTGCGCCTTTTCGTCTCCACCTCCCTCTTTCTCTCTAGCTAGCTAGAACCCCTTTTCAATGATCAGGTTTGATCTATAATAAAAAAAGAACTAGAGAAGGAAAATAAACTCGTTCTAAACAGTTTCATAAAAAAATATGTTTTACTTGTTATAGGTTACCCCAATGACTCATTTCTTCATTTTCCCATGAGATATATATACTTTTTTATGAGTAATGTTTGCAACACATACTTATTACATACTTTGGTTATAAGTGAATGGCGAGTAAGTGCCGGATAAAACGGCTGCAGAGAAATACTTTCGTTTTCTATTGACAGTTACGTTACTACGTTACGAACGTTGTTGGTTACTATGGTTACATCGAGGCAAAAGTATGTAGGTAAAACCGTAAGCATACTTTCTCGATTTTCACCATTTTAACATGAGCACATTAGGTTAAGGCTGTCTCTAAAAACATAAATTAAAAATATAAGATAAGAAAGTATTGGTGTCTTAAATTTTGTAATAATTGAAGACCAAGTTAGCTAATTAGGACATTTTTACAAGATTACTTCGAAGAGTTTCTTGATACTTTGAATTAATATTTTCCAAAATAGAGTCTATGCGATATCTAAGTAGTCATATCTGATTCACTCCTGAAGATAGCGAATTTATAATTTGCATACAAAGACTGCATAATACTTGCCATATACTTGTTTGTAAGTATTAACATCTGTTAGATTTTCTTTCTTAATCTTTTTTTTTCTTTTACAGATACTTTTAATTCGCTATGATCGTAGTACACCCTGTATCTTTTCCTCGATGAAATAAACTGTGAATAGGGGAAGGTTTAATTTATTCGTGAGGGGAACGGCATTAGCAACAATGGACACGTGTGATAGACTAGCGCGAGAAGCACATCTGTCCATTTCTAGAACAGCTGTACCCCGCGCACCAGGAACGGGTGCGTGTGTGGGGCGGCGCATTTTAATTGTAATACTGCACCGCCGAATTTACACACATCACTGCACGCACACACACTCTCTCCCAACAAAAAAAATCCACTCTGCACTTTTTTATTCGTTTCAATTCCGATTATAATGCTTGATTTTATCAAAAACTGACCCGTTTCGTAAATGCTGTGAGAGAAATGACGTCATTTAGAGAGAATGCACTTAATAAACACCGTAAATTTAAGACTAAGTTGGGAGTATAACGAACTTTGTAATTTAACACTGTGTTTCCTGCATCTTGTAAATTCCTGCTTTGGATTATCTTTGTTTATACCAGAATTCCATAAGATCCCATTGAGGGAAAATAAAATCAAGCGATGTTGATTAAATTAATTTGATTACAAAAAATTTTGCAATTTAAAATTAAACAATTAGGCGACTCAAAAGTAATAAGTATAGGCAACCAAACTAACATTTGTTGATGATCACAAGAAAATTGAGATGAGCGAGAAAGTGTCAAAAGTAAATTCAGGCGCGTATCGATTTGTCTACAGACGCTCTACAATCTTTCTAAGAAGATTCTCTAGTCAAAGAGATACCAGATAAACTCGAGAGATCCAAATAAAGTGTTATGGGAGATTTTGGCGAAAACCTAATAACACTGCCTTAAGGTAACCGTTCAAAATAAATGAAATTAACTAAATAATTGCATTCGAACCTCAACTTTTTATTTCTCAACGAAATTTGTAGGCAAAACATCGAATGTGCGACTATGTACTAATCAGCAAAACTTTCTGGCTATACTCTAGCGAAAGTGTTTTATCCCATATCTCGTGAAACAACAGAACTTGAATTGCTTTGTGATTGGGTCGAGTTCCAAAAATAACATAAATTACATAGAATTGGGTTGATCTGCTTTAGAGCTGAATTAGGTTGCTTTGAAGTTTGTGACTTGTTTAGCAATTATTTTGTAATTAGGTTGCTTTGGAATTGCATTATTTATTGGTTGTGATGGCTAAGATTGACGTACTTTGAAGTTGAGTTACTTTGGAGTTGCATTGTTTTAGGGATTTGCTTTGGAGTTGGATTTCTCCTTGGTTGAGTTGTTTTATGTTTTCCTTACTTTGCACTTAGCTTGTTCTTGAGTCGCTTTGGGATTAAACTACTTTGATTATTGGTAAAGCTGCTTTGAGGTTGGCTTATCATCTTGTATCATGTTGGTCTAGATTCTACTCCGACGTGAGAAAATATCTACATCGTATTTTCCCAGATGTGATCTCCAAGCTGATAGTAATAGATTTTAACAGATGGCGCCAACCAGAGACAAAGGTCAGTTTTGTTTGTTAGGTATCGTTTATGTATGAGAAGTGTATGAAGTAAGATCCCTTACATGCCAGCTGTCGCCCGGCTAAACTAAACAAAACAAAAATATAACCTAAAATTAAAAAAAAAATCTTTTTAGGTATAAACAATGGATAAAGATTCAGCCAAAGCAAGTGGCAGTCGGTCGGAAGCGACTGACAGTAGCCGCAAGGCAAAGAAAAGCGATGAAAACCAGATGGGTTCGAGGTGCCGAAAATGCACCGGAAAAAGAAATCGACGGCAGAAAAACATAGACGGAGGATTGCCGCGCTGAAAGAAACTTTGGCCAAAGGGCTTGCCACGACCAGTGAAGGGCATCCTCTGCCTCAATAAAAAAATATGAGGGGAGGGCTCCGGCCAGTTCTAAAGGGCAGGCTGGATCTTCCTTGACTTTAAGGAAAAGCAGACTGCAGACCTCAAAAGGGCAAGCGGCTGCCAATGAAAAAAAAAACATGCCGAAAAAAGACCAAGGTCTCCACGGTCACTCCCAGGGAAAAGAAAAAGTCGAAGAAAGTAGATTACAAAGGATCCTCCACGAGGCACCTGAAGGTGGCCATTATCGACAGGTCCAACCTCAACCTGCTCGGCAAACTCGATGCTGAAATGGTAGGACTAGTAGGGCTGAACTAAGTACTATTTTTGAGATTGTCGCGATGTTTGATGTCTGCCCAATATAATTCCAGACTTCTTTATGATTTCTAAAGCCAGACCAGTACAATTTTAGCGTTTTCTTGTTGGCTGGAGTATGGCTAATTTAATTCTAGAAAATTTCATGATGTTCTAGACTGCCCAGTATAATTAAAGACTTCTCTATGATGTCTGACAACTCACCTATACAATTTTAGAGTTTTTAGCGATGTCTGATGTATGCCCAATATAATTCCAGACTTCTTTATGATCTTTAAAGTTTCACCAGTACAATTTTAGCGGTTTCTTGTTGTCTGGGGTGTGGCTAATTTAATTCTAGAACATTTCATGATGTTCTAGACTCTGCCCAGTATAATTTCAGACTTCTTTATGATTTCTAAAGTCTGACTAGTGCAATATTCGATTTTTCTCATTGTCTGCAGTCCAGCCAATTTAATTCCAGACAATCTCTTGGTATTCTAGACTGTTACCAGTACAATTAAAGACTTCTTTATGTCTGACGTCTCATCTGTACAATTTTAGAGTTTTTCGCGATGTCTGATGTCTGCCCAATATAATTCCAGACTTCTTTATGATCTCTAATGCTTGACCAGTACAATTTTAGCGTTTTCTTGTTGTCTAGAGTATGGCCAATTTAATTCTATAAAATCTGATGATGTTCTAAACTCTGCCCAGTATAATTCTAGACTTCTTTATGATGTCTAAAGTCTGAATAGTACAATATTAGAGTTTTCTCGCTGTTTGAGGACTGCCATAACAATCTTTGTGAGGCAGCCGGTAGCAATGAGATTACGATCTGCTGGACAAAGGGTCATTCGGGAAATAAGCTTCATGACATGGTGGACAAACTGGCAAGGAAAGCAGCAGGCGAACCTCCGGGAATTTTTCATTGCCCCAACAATAAGGTCTTTAATAGAGCTTCAAAAAGAGGAAACACGTAAGAAGTTTTTAAACTACTGGGACTACTGATGAACCTTGATCCTAAACGAACAGATTTATTTTAGAGGCTGTCCAGGAAGAACCTACGTTTGGTCGTAGGTCTAATCACTGGACACTGGCATCTACAGAAGCACTTACTAAACATGGGAATAAGTGCCACCGACATCTGCAGAGGATGCGGTGAGGAGGAGGAATCAGCGGAACACATTTTATGCGACTGCGTGGCCCTCCAAACATTAAGGTTATCCATTTTTGGAGATATCTAGATTTGCATGAGTGGAATCAGGGCAGCACAACCAAGACAAATTCTAGCCTTTGTCTCCAAGGTAATATGGCTGGAAGGACCCTAATGCTGACCAAATGAGGGAAGTAAGTACAAAGTAAGTACAGGACATATTAATTATTAGTCAGAGAAATTATGACCATATCATTAATATATTATTTAAAATTAGGGTAGATAAAAAAAAATGAAATGATTGAAGTATCAATTTTATTCCAAAAAAAGAAAAATGTAAAAGAATGAAAATTAATAACATTTCAAAAATCTCATTCACCACATTACCATACGATCATATAATAAAAAAAAGATCGAAAGGAAAGAAAATACATAATAAAACAACAGGACACTATGTTCTAAATAACACGACGGCAAAAAACGTATTAAATTATTATTAACCTAACTCTTGTTCCCATCCTTGTTTATATTAATAATGTAATTAATTAGGTGTAACTATGGACTCAACAAAATAATAATAATAATAGCCAAAAAGTACAACAAAAACTATAAAAAAAGAATTGCACACAACAAAATCGTTTTAAAAAAAATTACGTCTTCTTAATATAGCTCATTTTTTAAAAATGATCTATACTTAATTCTTTAATTATTACTTTTTGATTTATTGTTGATGTGGTTGAGGTGCTTGCATAGGTGGTGCCAATCGGCAAGTTATATCAACGATGCGTTTCAAAAAGTTTTTAACAATCCCTGGAACGGAAGGTTTCGCAGCCACCGTGTCCATCCACACTCGCAATTCATGAAACATGTTTTTCGTATACGGATTACGTCGCGAGGTGTATCTTTGGACTAAAAAGTGATAGTAGATGAACGGAGTTAATAACCCAGCTTTCCCCCTAAACACAAAAACGAATTAATCACAATTATTTTTTTCAATCATTTCGCTTACATTAAGATGAGTATGACGGTTAAAGGCATCAACATAATCTCCGTAAAGGCCGCGAGTCTTAGAATATTTCTCGATTGGAATTCGACGATCGAAATTAATAATCTTGCACCCCACCAAGAATTTTGACCCATCGTCTTTAAAAAAAAAATAAATTAATCATATTTCTTTTTTTAAGAACTTTATACTTACATCTAATAGAGTCAAAGAATAACTGGCAGCATGTAATATAGCGAAGAGCACCACGGGTACAAGAACCACTAAAAACATTAATTTTACATTTATGTTCGTATTTGGTTGTAAAAACTTACGTGTAACAGGTGCGACATATAAATATATCAACGAATAGAACAAGTAATGGCAACTGTCCTCTTTGAAAAGCTCGCGAAGGAATTCCGTGTTAAATCGAACCATACCCAATCGTTGGTGAAGACGCAAAGCGCTTGTTGCTGCATTTGCCAATAATGCTTTGTAATAACAACTATTTGCATTGCTGTTAAAATAAATAAGAAAAAGGTATAATTTAAGAATCGTCATGTCGCTTAAAAATCGATAATTTTTTTTTAATCGACGGGAAATCACTCAAATAAGCCGTTACAAATTAAAAAAAAGTGCGGAAAACTGTAAAACTTACCGAAAAATTACTTTAAAGTTTCGACGTATATACAGGGTGGTTTAGTTTTTAATCGGGAAACTTTACTAGGATGTAGTACTTGTTAATATAACACAACTTTTTTATATAAACAAAGCGTCGTAATTTTTTTATTTTCGAGCTGTCAAAGTTGAGCCAAAAATTTACATTTTATCTTTTATTTCTTATTATAAAGCTCACTCTTTAGTGGTACTTTTTTGTCTCTTTAGTATTTTCCTTAAAGTTATGTACCGTTATGTGCCGCCCTGTTTAGCCAAAATTATTCTGAAAGTTGACTCTGAGAACTTGTAAGTTTCATTTACAGTGAATTAATTGGTGTTATTTAGTTAGTACTAGATTCTAGTAGTGCACAACATCCATAGCCAACTATAAAAAAATTTTATAAGGAAATTTAAGATATGGTTGAAAATAAGGTATTACAGATGACAACAACACAAACTATATTTAATAACAAGGACATACGTTTAACCTCAAGATGTACGAGTATATAGGTCTAATGTTAGTTCTTGTGACAGTGTAAGTGAAAAACTAGAACTAACACTATACCTACAACTAGAGTCATTGGGATTTAGCCGTCTTTAGAAACATGGGACTAAACCCAAATGATTCTAGTTCTAGGTCTAATGTTAGTTCTAGTAACAGTGCAAGTGTAAAACTAGTACTAACACTATACCTATACCCAGAATGTTTCGGGATTAGCGTTTAGTGTTAGTTCTAGTTTTAATTGTTATGCACAGCTATATTAAGATACGTATTTCAGTAGACTACATATAACGTAGCACGATAGTATATTTTGATCAATGTATGGATCCAGATTTTCCTTCTGATGTACCAGGCGAGGTAGAGGTTCATTATGACAGTGACGATGGCTCATGGTCTGAATTTGAAAGTCAAATTGAGCAGAGTTCATCGAATCCCAGAAAAAGAAAGAAAACAAACAAAGAACCCGAACCTCTATGGAGTGAAGACATAATCAACATTGGAATGAAAGAGACTCATGGTTGTACTGATCGCCTGAATAATCTGAAAGAGTGCACAAAAAATGACACTCCAGTGGAAGTGTTTGAGCGAATATTTCATGAAAGAATATTTACACATATTGTCGAACAAACTATGTTATATGTAGCACAAAAAAATGATCATACATTTTCTGTCACTAAAGACGATCTTAAGATATTTATAGGTATTTTGATCTTTACTGGTTACCACACACTGCCAAGGGAACGTTTGTACTGGAGCCTGGATGAGGATTTATCAATACCGTGTATCTCCACAGCCATGTCCAGGAATCGATATTATGATATCAAAAAGTGTCTTCATTTTGCCGACAACTCCAATCTAAACAAAAATGACAAAATGTATAAAGTTAGAACTCTAATGGCAAAACTTCCAGCAGTGAGGAACTTTCCACCCTCATATTTCCATAGACGAAGCGATGGTAAAGTACTCTGGTCATCATTCCGCAAAGCAATTTATCAAAAGCAAACCAGTAAGATTTGGATACAAAGAATGGATGCTTTGCAGCTTAACAGGATATTGCTTTAATTTTGATGTTTACTCCGGTGCCAAACCATCCACCATTTCAACTGAAACACAGACCAAGTCGGCATTACCCCTTGGTTCTAGAGTTGTATTAGAACTTTTAGAATGTGTGGCCCATCCGCAGTCATCAGTTGTTAAAAACGTTAAGGTTTTGGAGCAACGGGAACGGTTAGAGAGAATAGGACAAAAAGTGTCCTTTGCCACCTAAAAACACCACGAATAAAAAAGAACGTGGATATTTTCAATACGCTTTTGACACAACAAATTCTTTATTATTTGTCAAATGGTTATCATGGCAACAAATTACGAGTATTGAACCACAGGCAAAAGTTAAGCGCTGGTCTTCGTCGAAAAAAGACAAAATTGATGTGCCACAGCCTCTTTTGTTTTCTACATATAACTCATCAATGGGAGGAGAAGTAGATCTTTTAGATCAAGCAGTCAAGCAATGATGTTTCATCCGTAAATATACGTTGTAATCTTACCTATAGTTCATTTTTTTTCTATAATACCTGTCAAATTGTTGTAAAGTTGGCAAAATTAACAGGGAGTTTTGTTATATGATGTTTTTGAAATAAATATGTCACGCTGACGTTTGAGCTTTCGTTATGCAAAAATGTTTATTTGCCATTTATTTACCTAGAAAAGGTATTTTGTTCTATTTAATTACTTTGTAGCACGTTTTTACAACAAATATGTACTTCGTTAAAATCGTATTTATCTAAAAATTTATTAGTATTTTAACCTCAACTATTTAGTTACTGAAAATGTTACTAAAAATCAGGAAAACAACATAAATTTTATAAGGGTAGATAATACCAACAGAAACCTTAAAAAATTTACATTGACAAGTATTATAGAAAAAAAAACGAACTATAGTTTAGTGAAAATAAGATTACTTTTAAGTTTATCAGATTGATTTTGTGCGTGACTATAAAATAAACAATTTATAGGTTAGGTGTTAACTTTAATGTGATTTTTTTGTAATTCGCGACGGTAATGAAAGCTATAACAGTACTCAAACGGGTGCTGTAATGAGACTCCTTACAGCATCCGATGCTATAATGAGATTTTAGTAACATTTTATGGAACCAGTTTAAGTTGGTGACATTGAGTCGTCAATTTTTCTTGTTGACAATGTGACAATTTTTGTCTATGGATATTTAAACACGTTCTTAGCATCGGATACAAAGTCCACAATGATGAGATATTTCTCTTATTTTAGGAGGTGTACATGAAACTTTTTTTTTAGGTGAATACATTTTGTGTTTTGACAATTTCTAATTGTCAATTCAAATTTTTTCAAGTGTTACCAACTACTAGATACCTATTTCCCTATATTGTCAAAATTTATTTTATTTTTGTTAAAAAAAAAGGATAAAAACGCGAATTATAAAAAAAACACGTTTTTAATATACTATTTCGGCATGTTTTACACTTTACCCCATTTTTTTTTTCATTTCTAACGAGTTTTTTGGGTCATTTCACATTGATTTAAAAAAAATCGTCGATTTTTAATCCTCATGATGATTTTTGAATTTTTCCAGTAAAAATTAGTATTTTATTATTTTAACAAAGTTTAATTTAGATTACATTTAATAACACCCAAGTTTCTCCCATAATTATCGAATACAAAGTTTGAAATTCAAGGTTCCAAGGTTGCTTTTGCATCTAATTGAGTTAATCGACTTTAATTTTCACGCTATATTGAATAATTTTATTTTTGTATAGATTTCTCCAAAATACTATAATTTAGCTATTTATTTTATTACATTTTATCATAATTTCATAACACTTAATCCGTAAAAGATAATTTTTCAAGTTTCAGATAATATAAAAACCCTGTATAAAAAGCTTAAAATACTTCGATTTCAATTTGGTAAAAAACACAATAAAAAGGACAAATAAATTAATTTAATTAATAAAAAAATTCAAAAACTCACCCAAATATTGGGAATAAATAACCTATAGTAAAAAGGAACGTTAAGATCCTAATCGCCCAAAGGGCCACGTCGATTTTGTGTGAAATAACGTGTTCTTTTAAAGCGGTTATATTGAGGCCCCGATTTGGAGTCGAATTTGATGTGGTGTTTTCCGATTGTGGTTCCATTTTTATTAGTTATTAACCTGTAAATTATTAATTTGGTCATATGAACTTAACCTAATTTCGATTTCTCTTACTTTTAAACCGTATTAAAATAAATACCAAGTGAGGTTGACTTCAATCCGCGGAATATCGTTGAAATAACGTAATTAATGAATACAAGGAGTTTAAAGCAACGAAAACCTCGCACTCAAAATTGCGTACTGTCAATTATTGAAAATGTGACAGCTAAAACTCGTATAGAGTGAAATCGGGTTTGCAACGTCACCAAGACTTATCTTATTATTTATTAGTTAGATAAGATCTCGATTGAATTCGCTAAGTATATATGAGTATTTGATAAATTTGCATTTTTAATGGTTAACCTTGCTAAAATCGTTTTTTAATAGATAACCTTTTTTTATCTATTAATTAACTGAACGTACCCTAAGAATACGTCAATTTTACCAACCCGATTACAATTTTAGTAGATTCATAAATATAATAGTGCTTTCTAATGTACTTATGCAAGAATAATAAAATCGAAAAGTACTGTTACATCCTTTCTTCGTTTGTAATTCAGAAAATGACGTCAGTCAAGGTCCGTTGAGTAAACATACTGTATAAGGTTATGCAACTCCATATGAACGTATCCCCCCGCAAAGGCCTTGCTGTGACGTCATTGGAAGAATTGACATTTCTATGTTTTTATTTATACAGTGAATTTCACTTAAGAAGCAATATACAAAAATATAAAGCGAAATATTAATGGTTATAATTTTATTGTTGTTAGGTTATCCAACTTGACTCGGTTACCATGGTGATTAAGATCCAAATATTGCAGATGCTTGTCAAAATTGAAATTGAATTTAAGTTTTTTTAAGGAAAAAGTCTTATTTAATTGGTTTAAAAGGCTGTATTTAACTCAAAATTGGTTTATCTAGGGAATTATAAACAAGGTAAGTGGATTAAATCAAAAAATTTATTTCTCTTAATTAGAATCGATTTAAATTAATTACAATTAACGAATTTGTTATGAATGTACAAGAATTTAGGGTTAAATAACAATTAAAACTAGAACTAGAAAGTTTTAGGTTTAGCCGGTCGTCTTAGATAAGAACTTAGAAAAACGGTTCAGTTGTCAATTTCAACTTTAATTTTATTATTATATTCGTAATCTTCATAAAATAACCTTTAAAATGAGTCCAAACTTGACGCATTTATCTCAAAAAACCAGAAAGTTCGAACTTTCAACTTGTAATTTTGACATATTTGGCAACTTCATGAAAAATCCTTTAAAATGAGTTCAAACTCGACATATTTAACTTTAATATTAATGGAAATACAATCACTTCCGGTTTGAAACGTCAATTTTGACATATTTGTCACCTTCATTAAAAAACTTATTAAAATTATTTCAAAAAACAAAAAAGTTAGAATAAAAAACGTTAAACCCGAAGTTAACAACAATGAAGATAGCAATTCAATTTTTAAATATTAATACCAACCTTTTTTTTTTTTATTATATTTTTGTTTTTGTGACAAATATTAAGACATTTTATAAAAATTAAGAATATGTCAAAATGACATTGACATTTCAAATCGGAAGTCGCTTATATCTCCAATAGTATTGGAATTAAATGTATCACGACGACTGCAAATATGTCAAAATTGACGTTGACATTTCTAACCGGAAATTAACCATAACTTCATTAATATTGAAAATAAATATGTCGTGTTTGTACTCATTTTAAAGTATTTTTAATGAAGATTAAAAATATAATAATAATAATAAACAAGTTTATTGTTCACAAACACCAGCATACATATTCGTGAAAGTACAAAAATTAGATATTATATAAATTTATGAACAAAAGGTGATGTTCGATAGTCTCCTATCGTTCTTCCACAAATATGTCAAAATTGAGGTTGACATTTTAAATGTGAAGCTAGTTATTATATAATAGATAAATGGACAACTTCATGGTGTTCTTTCATGATGTATTCTTTATTAAAAAAGCTTTAAAATGAGTCCAAACATGACGCACTTATCTCAAACAACAACAAAATTTGAATAAAAAAACGTTAAACCCGAAGTTAGCAACAATGAAGATAGCAATTTAATTATTAAATATTAATACCAACCTTAATTTTTATTTTTTTTTATTTAATTTTTGTTTTTGTGATAAATTTTAAGACATTTTATAAAAATTAAGAATTTGTCAAAATGACATTGACATTTCAAACCGGAAGTGATTGTATCTCCATTAATATTACAGTTAAATATGTCGAGTTTGGACTCATTTTAAAGGATTTTTAATGAAGATTACAAATATGTTAAAATTGAGGTTGACATTTTAAATCTGAAGTTAGTTATCATATAATAGACAAATTGACAACTTCATGGTGTTTTTTTATTATGTATTCTTTATTAAAAAAAACCATTAATAGTATATTTTATATTAATAGTATATTGCACTAAAACTAGAACAAACACTAGACCTAGAACTAGAAAGTATCTAGTATTTTCAAGTTCTAGGTCTAGTGTTAGTTCTAGTTTTAATTGTTACTAAGTGTTAAATTGTTGTCTATTTTCACTGAAATAGAACTAACATTAAACCTAGAACTAGAATCATTTTAATCAATTTATTCGAGTTGGATAACCAAATGTCACATTACGTTTTTAGATCTGCCAGAGACATCTAACAATCAATAGTCGAATTAATTTAGAAATGTATGCATCAATATCTACATTAATGAACGTACTCACCACGTTCATAAATTTATAAATTGACATATTAACTTAATTAAAAAAAAAAAATTTTCAAAATTTTCACAAAATTTAAATTTAATCCAAAAATGTATAGTAAATCCTTAATATTCACCCCGAATATTAACTAATAGTACTAATACATACATCACACACACACACACAAGTTTTTTTTGACAGTAAACAACAGTGACATTGAGTGACATTTCACATTTCACCGGAGTTTTTCACATCAATTTTTATGTTATTCTTTTTGATCTTCCTTCAAATCCCGTTTATAATAATGGCCTGGCGATCTCACGGAAAAAATAATTTAGAACTCGTCCGTAATTTAAGAGGTAGGGTTTTAACGAAAAAAGATATTTCGATTTTTTAGGTTATGTAAATGTCAATTTTTTTTATAGCAAACGGAATCATAAAAAGCGAAACCGTTGAAAATGCAATGAAACAAGTCGATAGGGGTAATTATTCCCCAAATAATCCCTATATGGACGCGCCCCAATCAATAAGTTTTGGAGTGACCATTTCTGCACCGCACATGCATGCCCATGCCTTAGAACTCTTAAAAGATAAACTAGTCCCTGGTGAAAACGCTTTGGATGTTGGATCGGGAAGCGGATATTTAACTGCTTGTTTTGCTTTAATGATTGGCGAGAATGGGTAAAATGTTTTATTTAATATTAATCTTTTTATTTAATAATTTTGTGTAGAACTGCTGTGGGAATTGATCATGTCCCCGAGTTAATTGAAGCATCACGAAGAAACATACAAAGAGATCATCCCGATTTGTTAAGTTCAAACCGTGTAAAGCTTGTGGTTGGAGATGGAAGATTAGGTTACCCAGATATGGCTCCTTATAAAGCTATCCACGTTGGTGCTGCAGCTCCAACTCTTCCTCAAGCACTCATAGATCAATTAAAAGTAAAATTAATATTTAAAGAATTAAAAAAAATATCTAATTTTCGTTTTTGTTTGTAGCCTGGAGGTAGATTAATCGTTCCGGTTGGCCCAGCTGGAGGTGAACAACGACTAGAACAAATCGATAAGCTAGAAGATGGCACTGTACGTCAAAAATCATTGATGGGGGTGATTTACGTCCCTTTAACTGACAAAAATAAACAATACGGCCCTTGGCGTTGACACCAGTACACTTTAGCGCTTGTAACGCTTGTCGTTTTCCTTTTGGTTTTTTCTCATAAAAATTTTAAAATCACGGTTTTCTAGTCTTCTATTTTATACGGTTTGTTTTTGTTCTTTGACGATGATTTGTACATAATTATGATCTTTTGGAATTTGAAGAGTTACGTTTGACGTAGTATAGTATTTATGAGACTTATAATTTAGACTGTTTGATGTTTTAATTTTTTTTTTTTTTTTTAGAATGAAATATAAAGTATAATAGTTGCTTAAGATAAAAAATAAAATTTACTTGATCCATCCAACTAAGTTAAGGACTTAATTAACAAGATTTTAACATGAGATAACATAATTAATTATCGTACCCGATGTCATCATTACAAGTATGCAACCAATATCGCATTGCAATACGCATTCTGTGATGTTGGTTGCATACTTACTATGATGACGTTGTCACAGGAAGTGTATGTATTTATAAATAGAAAGAGGAAGCATAACTAAACTAAAACGGTATTAAAATTGAATTGATGTTTTGAATATTTAATTAAAATCAAATTATTTTGATAATTGAATCGAATACCACCGTCGGTGTCGGCACCCCTCGAACTTTTTTGGTGTCGTTATTTATTTATTTATTAAGTGGGTACAAAAACAGGTCGAACCCAATAACACTACCACAAACAACCAGTACAAGTTAAATTACAGTTCACAATAATAATAATGAATTAATAATAATAGCACAAAAGTGAATAGTGAAAGGAGAAAAATAAAACTAAGGGCCAGTTGTACAATATACATATAAATTTACCTGATAACTATCCTGCCAATAACTTTATCGGGAGGATAGAGATATAGTTTTTGCCGGCGAAATAAGAATCAGTTGGTACCACTTTTGCTACATATCTAAGTAGTAATTTGTGCCGCAGGTTGGTAATGCTCAAGGTTTATACAGGTGTTCCGGTGACTCGGGGCATAAAATAAACCTCATATAATAGAGCAAAAATGATGACGATTCGTGAAAAAAAATTATTATAAAAGTCTTCAAATGGCTAAGATATGGGCCATCAAAGTTCAGAAATTTTAACACATTTTTCTAAATATTTTCAATACCATTTATGGTAGAGCGTTGAAATTTGGTACAGGGTAAACAAATATCAAGCAAAATCATTGAACCAATTTTGACTTTGATCGGGCGGCGGCAACCATGCTATATAGGTGTCCCTAAAATTTGTTTGCTCAGAACTTTTTTGTTCGCTCGTAACCCTACATTTATTTTTGTGCTTTTTAATAGAAAATTTATTTTAGAAACTATTATCACTCTTTGAAAATTTTTATAACATTTACCGTTTTCGAGTTATACACGAAAATATTAAGCTTTGATTTCAATCGTAACAAACAAAAAAAGGAAACATATTCCGCAAGATCTGAGTTGGCGATGATAATTTAAAAACGAACTTAGCTAATAACCATTATTTGCATACATTTCTAAGTGCAGACTTTAAGTGTTAATTTATTTTAGTTGAATAAAAGAATGTAATTTCCAAAACAATAAATTTAATTTTCACGGTTACAACAAACAAGAAAATAACAAAAATTCTAACAAAAATATTAACAAGAACAATAAAATTATAAACAAATAGTAATAAATAAAAAAGAACAAAAAAATACCAACGCAGATGTTCAAAAACACTCCCGCCGGCATCAATGCACGCCTGATATGGCCGTCTTAAATTAAAGCGCACTCTGCGGAGATCGATCTCAGTTCGAAGTTGATCAAATGAATCGACAATTCGCAACCTCAGTTGTTCTTAAATCTTGGATTTTCGTCCGCCCAACTATGTAAATTTCTCAAATTGAAGATTCTATCTTTAGAAAAAGTGGATTCATCTGTAAGAAGCACTTTTTCTTAAAACAGATCATCAATTTGGATTTTGTGCTGCATTATTTGGCAATATTGCAGTCGCAGTGGGTAATCAGCCAGTCGAACTTCCTGAACTTTGTAACAATGAAATGGATAAAGCTGTTGCTCGTGAAGAACACTCCAGACAGTTGTTTTTGAAGTTAAAAAGTGCCTCGCCATATCCAGAGTACTAGCTGTAGTATTTTCTTCTACGTAGTCTAGAATATCTTCTTCTAGTTCGGGTGTTCGGACTGATCTTACGTTACTGTTGTTAGTAAATTTCGGCTTAAACGTCCCATTTTCCCTTAAACGGGTTTCAATCCTTAAAAATGTTTTTCGATTGGGCGCTCTGCGATTCGGAAATTTCTCCCGATAACGCTTAGCGGCTGCTACGGCGTTTCCATGACATTCCCCTAATGTCAAAATCATGTCAGTTTGTTCACTAAATGTGTAACTCTCCATTTTGAACACTTAAAATTAATAAAAACTTAACTAACAAAAAACTATCATTTGTGTTTAAACGACATAAGCAAGTTGACAGCTCAATTTGTTTTTTTAATTGCCATGGCCAACCTTGACTTTTTCGAAGATTTTTATTTTTTAGTGTTACCATTGAAATCGAAGCTTAATATTTTCGCGTATAACTCGAAAACGGTCAATGTTATCAAAATTTTCAGGGTGATAAAAGTTTCTAAAATAAATTTTCTATTAAAAAGTACAAAAATAAATGTAGGGTTACGAGCGAACAAAAAAGTTCTGAGCAAACAAACTTTAGGGACAGCCTGTATAGCATGGTTGCCGCCGCCCGATCAAAGTCAAAATTGGTTCAATGATTTTGCTTGATATTTGTTTATCCTGTACCAAATTTCAACGCTCTACCATAAATGGTATTGAAAATATTTAGAAAAATGTGTTAAAACTTCTGAACTTTGATGGCCCATATCTTGACCATTTGAAGACTTTTATAATAATTTTTTTTCACGAATCGTCATCATTTTTGCTCTAGTATATGAGGTTAATTTTATGCCCCGAGTCACCGGAACACCCTGTATACAGCCTGATTCAGAGTAAGCGCCTTATTTTTTTTAGCCACACTATGGGTACTACTTTCAAAAAATTTGGCAGTAATATGTTTTAGGACATTCTCTACACGATGGTGATATTACATTTTCAATTGGACGAATTATTTCAAAATGGCGACTGTCAACTTTTTTTTTTAATGGAATACCAAAATTTTTTTTTTTATTGGGATCCTAAAAACATTCTTTATACGAATAGTATTTTGTTTTTCTTAAAAATTCATTTCTTTCCCCATCAAAAAGCACACATTTTAATCTAGTAGCGCATGAATGTTTTACGTAGGGTCAAAATTATGAGTTAAACATATTCCCCAAATTTCATTTTCTTATAATGTATAGCAAAACTAATAATTTCATGTTTATGATCGGTACAAGGCAAAGAAAAATTGTAGTTTGTTGTGATCATATCGTCTACTATGTCGGCGTAAATACTACAAGATTTTTTATTTATATATGACCTGGACTATGGAAAGGGGTTTTAGGTGTCAAGACGATTTTGAATCTTCTAATAGTGTAAAGTGCGGTCTTTTCAATGAACTTAACCTCAGCTTCGCAACTATCTTCGCGGCTGAGTTATTTGCATCGAAAGTTTAATTTTGGACCATACTTTTAAAAGTAGATCATGTTTTGAAACTGTGTCTATAAATTGTGGTTTTTTAGGTAGTTTTATCTTCTTGATCTCTTTAGTCACATATGAGGGACAATCAGCTGTATCTGAAAGTCTTCGTTTCTTTAAAGGAACCTATTCGAATCAAAAATAAAGTAACAAGTCGATTTCTTTTGTAAAATGAAGTAAAAAATTAGATAATTTTCAAGGATTTCTGGCTTCATTAAACCGAAATCACGAAAAATTAATTAATTATTTATTTATATTTTTTAATTAAATCAAGTCATCTAATTATTGTTTCTAAAACAATTAATAGTTATTCCAAAATTATTTTTGACAAACGTTTCGATGACAGATTCTTGCGAAAATTTCCAATAGAAAATCTTGCAAATCACGATTAACCAAAATGACAAAAATCGACGAGACCGTTTACAAAGAGCTCGAAGAACTTTTCGATAACTTAAAAAGATCATGTCAGAAAATAGCGGACGATGCGGCCAACAACGAGAGCGGCGATAAACTTCAAGAAACGACGGGCACGACGCAAGAAAAACTTGCCAACTTGTCGACACGTTTAGACGAGATCCTGCAGACTTTAAGCGTTGCCGAAAACGGCCCAGATTACCCGAAAATCATCGCGATGAAAGCATCGCTTTTGTACGAAAAAGCGAAAATATTACTCAGCACCGAAGAGAACGAGGAGTGCAAGAATAAACTCGACGAGGCGATCGCGATGATCGATAAAATGAAAGAAAACCCACATATTACTTATCTTTATTTACGATGTATAAATCATTTGGCTTACGTTTATTCCAAGTTGGGAAATTTTGATAAATCGAAGGAAATTCTTGAAAATATTACGAAATACGAAATTAAAGACGATATTTTAGTTTATAGGTAAAAACATTTTCTTTAATTTTTTTTAATTAAATATTAAAAAAAATTTTTTAGTACTGAAGAATTATTCTCAACGAATGAATACAACGCCGATAAATCCCAAGCTTCTTCAAAACTCCACAAGTTGGCTATAAACAACTTACAAATGCTTAGTTGGGTTTACATCAAACAAGGTCTCGATTTGGAATCGGCCAAAGTTCAGCACGAAATTCTTCAATTAGAATTAACATACGGTGAAAGTGATCCGATAGATTGGGCGACGAGATGCGCGAGAATCGCCGTTCTTCACTTATCAAAGATGAGATGGATTTCGGCGCGTTATTATTTATCGGCGGCTGGTTCTGTTCTAGATCGTTTAGAACGTGACATGATCGATCATCCCGATTTGGCCAAAGCAGAAGCTGAATTAGCCAGAGGATGGATTTATTACGCTTTGAAATTATTCGAAGCCAGCAAAGCTAAGGATATAGATAGGATTTGCAATGAAATTTTTAAAGATGAACAATCAACATCAGATCATGGTAAATAAATTTTAAATTTTTAAATTAGTTAACAATTTTCTTTTTGCATCAGAATCTGATGAACAAATTAATGTGGAAGACGATGATTCTGCCTCATCCGATACATCTCCGTGTTTATTTATCGGACAAGATGTAAAAACTGAAGAGGTTCCCGCAACGTTTATTAAAAATTTAGATCAAGCGAAAGCGTTATTTTATTACACAAACACTTGGTTAAAACGAGCTCGACTTTATTACACCCTCCGCGATCATCCCTTTATGTACGTTAGTTGCGTATTAGATTTAAGCGAATTATATCGTTATTTAGCGTTTTACGAAACCGACACAGACGCACAATACAACGTGCAAAAACGAAGGGCGGATGCTTTGGAAACGTTGAGCGGAATATTAAAAGAAGTTAGGCCACAATGTTACATTGCGGTTAGCGTGGAGTTATTGAGAGAACTCGCCGAGGTTCAAATTGAGTTGATGGGGTTAAATTTGAGGCGGATTTATAAGATGCAAGAACCCACGGAGGGTTACGACGCGATTAAAAGGAGAATGGATGCGGTTAATACGATCCAAGCGAAGCTTGAGAAGTTTGGAAATATGCTCGGGCATGGACATGATTTGGAATCGCCGTCGAGGGAGGATATTGATGAACGACGGGAAGAGGAGGCAGACGGAGATTTAGTTGAGGAGAAAAGTTAGGCGCATTAAAGGTGTAACAAAAATTGGTTCAAATTAATGATGGAAAATTTGTATAGAGTTGTGGAACTAGATTTTATGTATTAATAAAAAGATAAATAATAAAAGGTTTTTTTTCTATGATACCTATCAAATTGTTGCAATTTTGGTAACAGTTGGCAACGTGTTAATTTTGTTATATCTAAAGATGGTGCTACATCCCAGGAAGCTCGATTCTTCTTTATGGGTAGTAATTACTAGCTGTTTTTATAACCACTGTGGTGATGGTTTCTGTGAACCTTTTAACCCAAAAGCCAGGTAGGTGCTTAACCTTACATTTAGTAGAAATTCTTTTTCCATATAATGAAGTCTGGTATTCAAGGGAAACTTTTACAATGGTTTGCTTCCTATCTGAAGAAGAGATGCCAGATTGTTTTAGTTAATGGTTTTTCTCTAATCCTGTGTCGGTTCCTTCTGGTGTTCTCCATGGTAGCCATCTAGGCCCTTTACCGATTAATATTTATGTCAATGACATATTTGAGGTATATTGACGATTTAAAAGTCTTTCTCCATATATTCTCACCTCTTGATTATTCTAGATTGCAATCTGATTTAAATAACATTCATGTTTTCTGCCTTTCATTAAACCTATCAAAGTGTAATATTTACTTCTCTAGAAGTGAGAACTTCTCTGCTGGTGAGAAGTTGCAACATGTCTTATTTATTAGAGATTTGATTGCAAATAATTATTTGATGAACATGATTTATTATGAAGATCCATGGTATACATTTAGGTTGGTAATACCAACCTTAATTTTTAATTTTTTTTTATTGTATTTTTGTTTTTGTGATAAACTTTAAAACATTTTATAAAAATTAAGAATCTATCAAAATAACATTGACATTTCAAACCGGAAGTTGCTTATATCTCGACTAATATTGCAATTAAACATATGTTTGGGCTCATTTTAAAGGATTTTTCACGACAATTACAAATATGTCAAAATTGAGGTTGACATTTTAAATCTGAAGTTAGTTATCATATAATAGACAAATGGACAACTTCGTGGTGTTCTTTCAGGAACAAATTTCTATAAAATGAGCCTAACGAAATACATTTAAAATAATAATTTAAATACCATTTAAAAAACTTCAAGTGTTATTCATTTATTTTCTGAAATAATAACAATTAAATGCCTTATTATGGCAAACAAAATTGTTGTATAAATTGTTTTTATAACCAATCAAAAAACATTAATCTTTTTATATTTACTTCTAACACGCTTAAAATCTGATTATATACTTTGGTTAAAGATATCCAGGTTCATAAAATATGCTAAATACGACGGGAAATGATTACGAATAAATTTTTTGCAATTACAAGCTAAAATAAGTTTCTTGACTAATAAATAAATGTTAAATAAATTTAATTAATAACTTTGTTTGTTGTAATAATTTTAATTAACTTATTTGTAGATACAAACTGGTAATATTAAAAAGTTACCAAATTTAGGTTGGTAACATTACATAAAAACTAACGAGCCAACTTCAAACATTTGTTGCCATCCTTTTCTATAAACGTCAAAATGGCAACCTCAGTGTCGAAGAAACGTAAGGTAAGTTTTTCGAAATTTTCACTTATAAATAAACCTTTTCTAACAAAAATATTGTTTAAAATCCCAACTTGAATATTTAATAAACCGATCCCAACCGATAACCCCCTTCAAAATATTCATTTCCACTCGGGATGACTTAGATTAAAACCCCGTTTCCGTGTGTTGACAACACGCTTATTACATTTTAGGTTAGAAATTCTATTTCGAAATTAAGAAGCGTTTTTTTTTAGTTTGTAGGAGACGGTGTCTTCAAAGCTGAATTGAACGAGTTCCTAACGAGAGAACTCGCCGAAGATGGTTATTCCGGCGTTGAGGTTAGGGTCACTCCAACCCGAACCGAAATCATCATTATGGCCACTCGTACTCAAAACGTTTTGGGTGAAAAAGGGCGTAGAATACGCGAATTAACCTCCGTCGTACAGAAAAGATTCAATTTCCTTGAACATTCTGTGGAATTGTATGCGGAAAAGGTCGCAACGAGAGGACTTTGCGCCATCGCGCAAGCAGAATCATTACGTTACAAATTGATTGGTGGTTTGGCTGTTCGTAGAGCTTGTTATGGTGTTTTACGGTTTATTATGGAATCTGGAGCTAAAGGTGAGATTTTTTGTTTATTGAGCTTATTTTATTAGGGATATGAAGTTGTTAAATCAAGAATAAAATGTTTTATAATAATTATAAATTTATAAAAAGAGTGCAAATTGAAATGAAATCATCATTTATAAATGAGAGGTATCTGTTCAAAAGGGGCTATTTGCATACTAAAGAAATTTTTTGAAAATATGTGCAGGTGTATATTTTTTAAATTAATATAATAATAATACCTTTTGAATTGAAATGATAATAAGTAGCACCTTTTGAACACAATATTGCATATGTAGCACTTTTTGATGATGAATACATAAAGTAAAAATGATAGGTTAAAGCTCCAAACAATCACAAGATTCAGTGAATCTTTTCCTCCCCCATTAATTGCTGTTTTTTTTTCAAGTTTTATTTTATTTTTCCAAAGAATGCAAGTTCGAAAGTTCATGCGTCAAGTTCAAAAACTTTCTGAGACTGTCCTTATCTTATCCTTTGTTTTATTTGACTTCCTATCACTAAAACTTTATTCAAATTTTGGACCCTTTTTCTTGAAACATTGAAAACTTCAATAAAAAAAAAGGACCTACAAGCTCTTTACATCTTCATGTCTTGAAATTTTATTACATAGTAGGTAGATAAATATTTATCCTACTAGATTTCCCTTTCTTTTTAGGTTCTGAAAGCCCCAAAAGTTTTGCTAAAAAGATGTCTTGCTTTCTGTCCTTATTATACAGACGTTTCCTGTTCTTGATTACATCCTCCATGGTTATTGAACGACACTTAAATTTTGACTTAGTGTTTTTACATCTATGCTTGCATGTAACTTTGAAGCTAATACAAAGAGGGTCATTGCTTGTATATTTTCTGACCAATAAAATGGAATCATATGAGGAAACTAACAGAAAACACAATTTCACACTTTCTTTTACGATAGATGGAGCGATCTTTTCGTATTTTCCTAGATTATGAAAGTACCGCGGTTCATGCAGCCTATAGTTCGAGCCAAAATGGCGGTTTGACAGCTTGTCACTGCAACTCACCACTTATTTACAAAAATATTGCCGTCTTGTTGCCTTTGGAGTTGCAAAAATAGCAGTAAAAAGGGTTTTCGACTCTTCTGAGTACCACGAGAAAAAAGAAAGGAAATTTGGCGTAATGTTATCAATAGAATGACAGTTTTAAATTTCCCGCTTACTTTCGAGCCAAAATGGCGTCAAACCGCAATACTTTGTGAATCTAGGGACTTTAGTATTTTCTAAAGTCCCTAGATTATCAAAGTACCGCGGTTCATGAAGTCTGAGTTTCGAGCCAAAATGGCGGTTTGACAGCTTGTCAGTGCATGTCACCACTTCTTTACAAAAAGTGCATGTGTTGTTGCATTTGGAGTTGCAAAAAAAGGGCTTTCGACTCTTCAGAGTACCACGAGAAAAAAATGGAAAAAGGAAATTTGGCGTAATTTTATCAACAAAACGACATAGTTTTGAATTTCCCGCTTAACTTTCGAGCCAAAATGGCGGTAAACCGCGGTACGTTGATAATCTAGGGACTTCAGTATTTTTTGTCTTACACCACTATTAAATTTATGGCACGTACATTCATGTTTCAGTCAAATTTTATAGAATTTTTGTATGAATTTGTTAAAATCGATAAATTAATGGACTAAACATCCCTTACGGGTTCGTCATCACCGATTTTGTTCATACTTATAGGGATTGAAGGTCAGTACTCGGACATCATTTTCCTGAAGCAGTATGATTCATGCTCAAAAATATCTACAAAAAAGGTTTCAAAATTTTCAAAATATTTCGCAACAATAGAAATACGGTTTGGATGCCCAAGGTTGCAGGTTCAACCCTTACTGCTCGATTAATTTTTTTTTTTTTAATTTTATTTTTCATTATTGATGATAATCATTATTTTTAATGATTATTAAGAAATAAAATGTTTAAAATAAAAAATTCTTTATTAATAGTGGCGCATTTTTTAGCGATATTTGCTTGTATATATTGTATGTTATATATTGTTTTTTGTTTCGTTACTATGGAAACCAACATTATTATTTTAAATGGGATAAATGAACGTATCAAATCATATGGTTGTATAAAAAAAAATCGAGAAAGAATGCGTTCTCTAAAAATATTAAATCGGCAAATTACAATGAAAGTAGTCGCCGAAATAACGCCGTTGACAGCTTTAAATGTCAAAAAATTTGACAGTTTAAACAAATATGGCGCAATGAAGCGAACGACAAAGAATCCAAATATTAATAATGTATGGGTACGGTGCATGTGATAGAAAACGCACTCAAAGTGAAATTTGTACACTGTTCAATAAGATTTAGCTGGATACACAAGTTACATAATCCACAGTATCCAAAATATTAAAAAAAATTTTGAACACCGGAAGTGTTAAAAACTTTCCAAAATATGGACGGCCGGGCAGCTGCTAATGACGAAACTACATTAAATGTATGTCACCGTACCCATACATGATTAATTTTTCATAAATGTTGAAACTGTCATTTTTTTGACATTTAAAGCTGTCAACGGCGTTATTTCGGCGGCCACTTTTATTGTAATTTGCAGATTAAATACTTAAAAAAAAACGCATTTTTTTCTTATACAATCATATGATTTGATATGTTCATCCCGTTGAGGGATTTATCCTCTATCAAAGTATTCAAAAAAACATATGCATCCCATTTAAAATAACAATGTTGGTTGCCATAGCAACGAAACAAAAACCATACAAACAAACATCTCCAAAATTTTCTTTAAAACCACAAATGGCGAAGTTATTGGCTATATTCGAGATATTTGACACACCCCTTGTGTAATACTTCTAACAATAAATAAATTATTTTGTTATCACATCACATCACTATGCCATCTGTATGGATAATCTGGATTATTTGGTTTGACAATGTACTATTATTTTTAATTTTATTTTTGAATTTATTTAATATTTGTTAATAATCATTAATAATAATGATTATCATCAATAATGAAAAAATAAAACAAATAAAGCGAACAGTAAGGATTGAACCTGCGACCTTAGGCATTTTGCGTTTTTTGTGGATATTTTTGAGCATGGGATCATGCTGCTTCAGGAAAATCATGTCCGAGTACTGATCTTCAATCCCTACAAATATGAACAAATTCGGCGATGACGAACCATAAGGTCCTCTTGTCAGAAAGTTTTTAAATAATCTACCAGCCAGTGAAAACCACTAAACAAAAGTAAACGCATATATTTCGGACTTGCATTCTTTGGAAAAATAAAATAAAACTTAAAAAAAAAAAACAGCAATTAATGGTGGAGGAAAATGCATTTTATGCTATGATTCGTCAGGATGTGCCTGACACTATAAGTTTGTGTTTTGATATGGAAAAAGTGCAACCATTACCAAAAACTCCTATACGAGATGCATATTATTTCAGGCAAATAGGTTTATATAACTTATGTGTTGTAACATTGGATTCAAAAAATCCTACATTCTTTATATTGTTAGAAACACAACCTCTCAGAGAGAGAACTTGACACCACAGATAATAGTATTTTGACACTTGCCATAGAGTATAATAAAAGCTGTGTTTTGTTGTCACCTTGAATGCAAAATGCGTAACGAATGCTGCATAGAAATCAAGGAAATAACCTTTTTTGAACAGAACTTATTTTCCTAACCGACACTAATATGAAATATAGCTCTCTTTGAAAAGAAATTAATGAAGTGTTTAATAATCAGTTTCAATCAGGAAAAAATAGCACTTTTTGAACAGAATCAAAAAATTTGTGCCAAAAATCATTGCCACTAGAACTAACACTAGACCAAGAACTAGAAACATTCGGATTTAGCCGCACGTCTCTCAAGACGGCTAAACCCGAATGATTCTAGTTCTAGGTTTTGTGTGAGTTCTAGTTTTAGTTCAATAAAAATATGCACATTTTATGCTAACTAGCGCTACCTACCAGCCGTCTTAAGAGAAGTCAATTTAAATAAAAACAAATTTTCCCTCTTTCTTGCTTTTTTATTTATTTTATTTCTATATCGATTTCGAGGAAACAATCCTCATCTTCAGTAGAATTGGCAATTAAGTTGAAAAAATATTCAACATTAAATCCAACATATCATTCAAAGTAAAACTTCAACAACTTTAATCCAAATTTGAAACTTTTTCCTTTTATATAATTGAATAAATACAATAGAATATCAAAAAATCAAAAACCAAAAATCAAGATACATTTAAACAAAATCCAAAATAATACAAAACACACGCGTTTACAGTTGACAAGATAAACGAAAAATGACTGAATAAAATAAATAAAAAAGCAAGAAAGAGGGAAAATTTGTTTTTATTTAAATTGATTTAAACAAAGCTTGCTAATGGATAATTTAATCAAAGTCTTAAGAGAAGTACAGCTAAACGGAATGTTTCTAGTTCTAGGTGTAGTGTTAGTTCTAGTATTAGTCCAGTTTTATTTGTCATTCAGCGTTAGATTATTGTATATTTTTATTGAGCTATAACGGACACTGCCTTCCTCGTCTTAATCCGTTGTATCGAAGTTTTAGTGTAACATCAAATTATATTGACATGTTACATTTTATGTGGGACAAAGTAAGTGGTTTTAATTACGTTTAAACAAATAAGTAATTAAATTCGTAACTACAGTTTACTTAAAATCCTCTCTTTTCGGTTTTTTAAAACTCCCGCCAAAAAATAGTTTTGAAAAAATGACACGTGTCTTTTCATTTTACTCCCCCGAATTAAAAAATGGATTATAATTAAAAATGACATCGAAAAGGAACGTTTCCAAGAATGAACTGTTGTGAAGAACCTCTTTGTTATTTTTCACTCGGTCCTATCTCCAAAGGTCAACCTCTTATCTAAAAACGATGTGACCAAACTAAAAGATAACGGAATCGTAGCGGGCGAAAAAAATAATTCTTCATTCATGTTCAGTACGTTTCGGTTTTTGGCTCGAAAAATGACGCCGATTTTTCGTAATTTTCTCGTTTTTTCTTCGTTAATATTAGGGGCGCAAGCTTCCGGTTGTTTACAACATTCGTTTAATAACGTTTCGGTAACGGTTGTTGGGGTACGAGGCGTCGATCGTATTTCCGGTTGTTTGGAACCAATCGGAACGTTGGAAAAAGTGTCTTACGTTCAAATCATCAATCAAACAGTTCCCGTTTTGTACAAGGACGCCGTTAGGGATCTTCAATATCTCGTTGATTTCGTTTTGGACGGAAGTCAAGTTGCGAGTGTTGAGCGAGGATCGTTTTCGAATTTGCCACTTTTGAAATTGTTACGATTAAAAGATAACAAGATCCGGGAAATACGCGAAGGAGTCTTCAACGATTTGATGATTACCGAATTGAATTTGTCGAATAACGATATAGTTCGGATTGAGAGGGGTGCTCTTGATCGTTTGCCCAACTTGGAGGTTGTTAATTTTGATAGGAATCGAATTCAAACTTGGAATGAGGATTGGTTTCTTCAAACGCCAAACGTCAACACGTTATCGTTTCAGGAGAACGAAATCAAGCGGATTCCGAGGCGGGCGTTCCAAAATGTTCATGGAACGCATCAGATCGCCGGTAGAAAAGTGATGACCAATATTTTTTTGAATAATAACCTCATTTCGGATGTTGATCCGAAAAGTTTGGAGGGAATATCTGCTTTGGGGTGGTTGTTTTTGAATAAAAATGAAATTCGCGTCATCCCCGATGATTTTTTGGATAACATCGAACAAATCGATTGGTTAAAATTAAATTTTAATCAATTAAATTGTCTACCTGAAAAGATTTTTGATAAAGTGCCGAATGTAGTTAATTATCTTGAGGGAAACCCTTTGAACGAGGATTGTAAAACTCGATTTAAGTTATAGATTTTTTTATTTTTAAGTATTAATCGATTTTTAAATAAATTCATATAAAATTTTAATTTTTGTCTTTATTTAAATCATCTAATATAATTAGATTAATTAAAGTTATTTCAGGTTAGTAATTTAAGTTAACTTTATCACAAATTTAACCTAAATCTGATATCATTTTAGGTTGCGAAGTTGTTGTTAGCGGAAAACTCCGAGGACAAAGAGCAAAATCGATGAAATTCGTCGATGGCCTCATGATACATTCTGGAGATCCATGTAATGATTATGTGGATACTGCAACTCGCCATGTCCTCTTAAGACAAGGTGTTTTAGGAATCAAGGTAAACATGAGTTGTTTCTATTTCTGATTTTTTAATAATTATTATTGTTTAGGTGAAAATTATGCTTCCATGGGATCCTAATGGCAAAACTGGACCGAAAAGGCCGTTACCTGATAACGTTTCCGTTGTTGAACCAAAAGATGAGCCTTTACCTCTTAATCCATCGAGCGATATCAGACCGATTAAACCCGATCTGCCACCTCCAGCTGTTGCGGTCGCTTGAATTTAATTATTATTATTTGACATAAATTGAAATAATAAAAAAAATTGTAATAAGTTTTCTATTTTTGTTAATACTCCCAAAAGTTCTTTTTCATTAACTACAAAGATACTTAACCAACTAACTTCTAGTGGAATGTACTCAGATTAAGAAATGTTTTGAATTAATACAATTAAATTAGTTTGTTTTCAAAAATGCACATAATTTTGGTACATCAGATGAAGTATTCCTTCAAGTTTGTGTTTAGCTTCAATTTGATACCCAACAACCCGTGTTTTGAAATAAATTTAACTTTTAAGAAATTTTAAAATGACAGTTGACAGCTGAGCAATTTCGTACTTATGAACGTATCCCCCGCAAAGGCCTTGCTGTGACGTCATTTGAAGAATTGACATTTCTATGTTTTTATTTATACAGTGTATTTCACTTAAGAAGCAATACACAAAAATATTAAAAAAAAAGATAACAATTACATAAAAAAAAAATATTAAAATATAAAGCGAAATATTAACGGTTATAATTTTATTATTGTTAGGTTATTTGACTCGGTTACCATGGTGATTAAGATCCAAATATTGCAGGTGCTTGTCAAAATTGAAATTGAATTTAAATTTTTTTAAGGAAAAAGTCTTATTTAATTTGGTGTAAAAGGCTGTATTTAACTCAAAATTGGTTTATCTAGGGAATTATAAACAAGGTAAGTGGATTAAATCATAAAAATATATTTTTAATTTATTTCTTGTAATTAGAATCGATTTAAATTAATTACAATTAACGAATTTGTTATGAATTCCAGATAATCGTAAAGAATTCGAATTGTTTTAAAATTAATAAAAATTAGGGTAGAATTGATAAAAAAATCGAAATAAAATTTTATTATTTTAAGGTTATCTAACTTGACTCGGTTACCATGGTGATTAAGATCCAAATATTGCAGTTGTTTGTCAAAATTGACGTTTTTTTTAATGAAAAACAATTAATTGGATTTAAAGGTTGTATTTAATTCAAAATGGGTAAATTAATGAAATTATAAGCAATGACTTATCTTTCTTGACATTGACATTTCAAATCGGAAGTAGAACATCTCAAGTAATATTGAAATTAAACGTATGTATCATGTTTGGGCTCACTTTAATAGTTATTTAACCAACAAGTGTATTAATGAAGGCGATTAATTATTGAGATAATTAATCGCAGTTTAATATACGAGTTAGTTACAATATTTTTCCGTTGACTGTCTTTTAAACAAAATAGAGAAAATACATCGTTGAAAAATCACCCAATTCTATCACTGGCAAACTTTAAGAAAGTCCGACCGAACTAATATAGTAAATATTCTCGAATGAAATCTGTAATACCGACCCAACCGACCATTATATCTATTCGGTAAGACTACAATAATAAGTTTTGACTTTTGACACATTAAAAGTGAGGTTAAATTTGTGTGATTTTTATATTAAAATCGTTTATTAATTGGTGTCTTTAATGAATGATTTTGTATACATTTATAAATCATATAAATACACGGTCGATGGAAAAGGATTTTTAATAAAGATTACAAATATGTCAAAATTGAGGTTGACATTTTAAATCTGAAGTTAGTTATCATATAATAGACAAATGGACAACTTCATGGTGTTCTTTCATGATGTATTTTTTATTAAAAAACCTTTAAAATGAGTCCAAACATGACGCACTTATCTCAAAGAACAAAAAAGTTTGAATAAAAAAACGTTAAACCCGAAGTTAGCAACAATGAAGATAGCAATTTAATTATTAAATATTAACACGAACCTTAATTTTTTTTAGAAATTTTAAAATGCCAGCTGACAGCTGGGTTGGTTTGTTTTGTGGTTGAATTGCAATTATTTCTTAATCTACGCAAAAAGGGCTTCAATTTGATACCCAACAACCCATGTTTTGAAACAAATTTATTTTTGAAGTAATTTTAAAATGACAGTTGACAGCTGAATGGGTTTACTTTGAGGTTGCATTGTAATGCATTGTGTCGTTTCTTAATCTACACAAAGAGGGCTTCAATTTGATACCCAACAACCCATATTTTGAAACACATTTAATTTTTAAGAAATGACAGTTGACAGCTGAATTGATTTGATTTGCGGTTGCTTTGCAATAAATTCTTAATCCGCGCAAAGAGGGCTTCCATTTGATACCCAACAACCCATATTTTGAAACAAATTAAATTTTTAAGAAATGACAAGTGACAGTTGGATTGGTTTATTTTGTAATTAAATTACAATTGTTTCTTAATCTACGTAAAAAGAGCTCCAATTTGACATCCAACGTACCTTATTTCAAAAATAATTTACTTTTTAAGAAATGAAAGGTGACAGTGACAATTCAATTTAATATACAGGGTGCGGCAAAATTAGTAAAACACTTATAAACGTTATTTTGCAAAAATAGTCAAAAGAAATCTATTTGATTAAGTATTTATAATAAAATTATTTTATTTAAGTTATGACATCAACATTTTTTTTTATTACCGAATTTAAAAGTGTTTTTTTGTTAATGACGTCATAATTTAAAAGCAAATGACTATCACGAAGTGAATATAGGTTCAAAATGTGTTCTTAAAAAAAGAAAATTTATTATATTTATTCCATAATTTTGCTGCACACTGTATGTATTTTAGCAAATCAAAAAATTACAGATTTCTACATGACATAATAAAACTAGTTGACACTTTTAATAACAGATACCGCCTTATATTTTAAATGTAATTCAACAATCTTTTAAATAATATGATTATAAAATGATTTAATCAAATTAAATCTTTTTTACAAACGTTTTAAGGTCAACGCTTTGTGGGAATTAATTTTTGGTGGGTTTAATAATCAGCTAAAGGCTTGCTTTGTGTGGGGATTTTGAAGAAAATCGATTGTCCTATAAACGGGGGGCAAATACTTTAGCTGTTATAGTGTACTCGAGCACGATTTTGCAGTCAGCAAGAATTGAGTAGGTCGCTTGATTGTTAATGAGTTGACTAGAATTAAAAAAAAGCCAATTCAAATTGTTTCAATCAGAAAACATTTAAAAAAAAAATTTGTATCAATAATTATAATTACTACGTTTACTTACAACTTTATTTTGTATTACAATAATATATATGAAATTAATTAGTTCAATTCTTTAATGAATTATTTTTATATATATTTTTTTTCAACAAATGTTAAAAATCTGTCTCAGTAAAAGAGAGTAATAGCCGGAAACACTTGGGATGTTGAAAGCGACTCTTATAGGAAACAAGGGCGGTTTGATTGGAGGAAGGGAACGCTTACTACGGATTTGTCGAGTGCACCCTTTCATCGTTGTAAAAAAGGGTGGGAGCCTGCAAAAATGCATAAGAAGGCATCTTCGATATATTCATCTTCAGTTGCCCTAAATTCATTCATGGGTTATCAACTACATAAATTTTTAATAAACAAATACAAAAGAAAGTTCAAGATTCTAAAAAAAATGCTACTTTTTTATTAAAATTAATTAAAAATATTAATTAATTAATTAAAATAAATGTGTCAGTGTGTAATATCGAAATTTAGTAATTTAGTTCTTTTCATTATAATTACATCCATATTTATTTTCTTACCGAGAAATACAAAGGCAGATTCCCAGTGAGTACCTAAAAGTTGTTTTTTCCTTTCCGTTTCGCTAAAAAGGAAACTATGAGTCACATCTTTTTTTTTGCGTAAAAACTAATTAAATGCTGTAATGTGTTTGTCTTGGTGTTTTTTTATTTTTCCCTTTATTAATATGTTTTCTGCTACAAATTCAGGGCCGCCAAATTGCTTAATCATTTTAAATCATATTACGTAAATTCGAATCTAATTCTAAAAAAAATATTTTATTAAGTTAATTATTGACTTTATTACATTATTAATTTTTTTATTGTGTTTTTTTAATTTCCAGCGCTGAACGTTTACTCGAAAGCTTTCAATGTCCCATTTTAACACAAAACAAACCACCCTTTCGGTAATTCTCAAACCATTCTTTTTCTTTATCATTAATTTAAACGTTTTTTCCATTTCAGAACTGGTTTAGCTTTTGAGGACATTTTACCTGATGATGGTAGTAAATACGATAAAATGAGGCCACCAAAAAAAGACGGAAATCCGACGATTGTTTATTTTCATGTTACTGTTATGGGTTTAGATAGTATTGATGAAACTTCAATGGTATTCGTTATTTTGAAGTTAATTTAACATATTAATCGCTTTTATTTAGACTTATGCAGCTGATATATTTTTTGCACAAACTTGGAAAGATCACCGATTGCGTTTACCTGAAAATATGACCTCTGAATATCGTTTATTAGAAGTTGATTGGTTAAAAAATATGTGGCGACCAGATTCGTTCTTTAAAAACGCTAAATCAGTTACATTTCAAACAATGACTATCCCCAATCATTACATGTGGCTTTATAAGGATAAAACAATTCTTTATATGGTCAAGTAATTCTAATTTAATAAGACAATTCTAAATTTTTGATAAAAATATCACTTTTTAGATTAACTTTAAGATTATCTTGCGCTATGAACTTTGCAATTTATCCTCATGATACTCAAGAGTGTAAACTTCAAATGGAAAGTTGTAAGTAAACTTTTTTTTAAATCTGTACAGTGTAATATCGAGGATTAAGTTTTTGAGGTTATGATTTTGTGGGGACAAATTTTTACTCAAATTTCGATTCAAACCAAAACAATACAGTTTTAAACGTTATCCTAAACATGTTTTAATCTTCCATTTACCTAAAAAAGTTAATTTCAATCAAATAACATCAAATTTAGTCAATTTTATGAAACCCTTTTTCTTAACCTGAAATATTCATCGCGTCCAATTTATGGTCCAAAGTGATGTTGTTTGATGCGTATCAAACCTTCATTATTTATTATAAGACGAAAATGTACTCGAAGTTTATTGATATATCACAAATTCTATATTTCATGTAAACGTCAAAGAATAATGCGTATTTGTAATAATAGATGGCAGCACTTAACCATCAAATTTCTTTGGTGTTAATATACTATTGAAATTAATTAATTAAATACTATAAATATTAGTATAAATACACACTAATATTTGATTTAAATAGTTAAATTAATTAAATTAGCTAAAAAACATTTTAAAAGAATTGCTTTAGGTTTGTATTACTTACAGATTTGTAATTGATAGTTTTAAGCTTTGAAATAATGTTTCAATTGGAAAGTTTAAGGTTCAAATCATTCAAAACATTCAATTATCATAACGTGAAAGTATACTTAATATTTAGTAATACCCAAAAAATGATATTTCATCTAAACGTCAATTTGTATTACACAGTTTTGATAATAGATGGCAGTAAGTAATGAATAGGAATAAAGTCCCTAGATTATCAAATTACGCCAAATTTCTTTTCTTTTTTTTTTTTGTAGAACTCTGAAGAGTCGAAAGCCCTTCTTACTATTTTTACAACTCCAAATGCAACAAAACGGCATTATTACACGTGCAACTTTTTCTAAATAAGTGGTGACATGCACTGACAAGCTGTCAAACCGCCATTTTGGCTCAAATGATTCGAATACACAGGTTTCACGAACTTTTTCCAAGAGATTAGGTACCAAGGTGTTAAACTCACATTGTATAGGTATTTAGAAAGTTGTAAACGAATTGTTTTTCATAATGTTACCAGATACATACTTGGACTTATCAAAAATGAACAACTAGTTTGACTTGAAGTGAATCTGCAGTGATATTGAGCTTTAAATCAACTTCAGCTTATCTACAGTGATACAATAAAGTCTACATACAGCCCGGAAAATGATAATATCTCAGCTCCCGAAATGTAATTCAATGAAATTTTTTAACAAAACATGTAAGAAGTCTATATTATTTCCATATTTTACAATTTAATGACTATCAACTAGTCAACAAAAATTTGTCTAAATGTATAAGGACTAGTTTATACCAAGTTTAGGTTGTAAAATGTATAAGGACAAGTTTATAGCAAGTCCAGGTTGCTCAGAATGACTGAAAACTGCGCCAACATTGCCTAAAATTGGTTTGTAAGGTAGCAACATTGTTCAAAATGATTGGAAATAAGTTGATAGCCATCTTATGTTATTCCAAATCATTGAAAACTGGTTGAACATAATTTTATACTTGTCTAAATGATTAACAACTAGTTTTTAGACAATCCATATTGCTCAAAATGACTAAAAATTAGTTGATAGTCATTGAAAACTTGTTTAAATGCATAAGGACTAGTTTATAGCAAGTTTAGGTTGCCCAAAATAACTGAAAACTGCACCAACATTGTCCAAAATTGCTTTATAAGGTGGCAAAATATTTCAAAATAGGGTCATAACTATCTCATGTTATTCAAAATCATTGAAAATTGGTTGAGCAGAATTTTATACTTGTCTAAATGATTAACAACTCAAAATGACTGAAAACTAATTGATAGTCATTAGAAACTTGTCTAAATGTGTAAGAACTAGTTTATAGCAAGTCCACGTTGCTCAGAATGACCGAAAACTGTACCAACATTGTCTAAAATTGGTTTATAAGGTAGCAATATTTTTCAAAATGATTGGAAATAAGTTGATAGCCGTCTCGTGTTATTCAAAATTATTCAGAACTGGTTGAGTATAATTTTATACTTGTCTAAATGATTAACAACTAGTTTTTAAACAATCCATGTTGCTCAAAATGACTGAAAACTAGTTGATAGTCATTAAAAACTTGTTTAAATGTATAAGGACTAGTTTATAGCAAGTTTAGGTTGCCTAGAATAACTGAAAACTGCACCAACTTTGTCCAAAATTGCTTTATAAGGTAGCAAAATATTTCGAAATAGGTTCATAGCTATCTCATGTTATTTAAAATCATTGAAAATTGGTTGAGCATAATTTTATACTTGTCTAAATGATTAACAACTAGTTTTTGGACAATCCATGTTGCTCAAAATGACTGAAAACTAGTTGATATTCATTAAAAACTTGTTTAAATGTATAAGGACTAGTTTATAGCAAGTTTAGGTTGCCTAGAATAACTGAAAACTGCACCAACTTTGTCCAAAATTGCTTTATAAGGTAGCAAAATATTTCGAAATAGGTTCATAGCTATCTCATGTTATTTAAAATCATTGAAAATTGGTTGAGCATAATTTTATACTTGTCTAAATGATTAACAACTAGTTTTTGGACAATCCATGTTGCTCAAAATGACTGAAAACTAGTTGATATTCATTAAAAACTTGTTTAAATGTATAAGGACTAGTTTATAGCAAGTTTAGGTTGCCTAGAATAACTGAAAACTGCACCAACTTTGTCCAAAATTGCTTTATAAGGTAGCAAAATATTTCGAAATAGGTTCATAGCTATCTCATGTTATTTAAAATCATTGAAAATTGGTTGAGCATAATTTTATACTTGTCTAAATGATTAACAACTAGTTTTTGGACAATCCATGTTGCTCAAAATGACTGAAAACTAGTTGATATTCATTAAAAACTTGTTTAAATGTATAAGGACTAGTTTATAGCAAGTTTAGGTTGCCTAGAATAACTGAAAACTGCACCAACTTTGTCCAAAATTGCTTTATAAGGTAGCAAAATATTTCGAAATAGGTTCATAGCTATCTCATGTTATTTAAAATCATTGAAAATTGGTTGAGCATAATTTTATACTTGTCTAAATGATTAACAACTAGTTTTTGGACAATCCATGTTGCTCAAAATGACTGAAAACTAGTTGATATTCATTAAAAACTTGTTTAAATGTATAAGGACTAGTTTATAGCAAGTTTAGGTTGCCTAGAATAACTGAAAACTGCACCAACTTTGTCCAAAATTGCTTTATAAGGTAGCAAAATATTTCGAAATAGGTTCATAGCTATCTCATGTTATTTAAAATCATTGAAAATTGGTTGAGCATAATTTTATACTTGTCTAAATGATTAACAACTAGTTTTTGGACAATCCATGTTGCTCAAAATGACTGAAAACTAGTTGATATTCATTAAAAACTTGTTTAAATGTATAAGGACTAGTTTATAGCAAGTTTAGGTTGCCTAGAATAACTGAAAACTGCACCAACTTTGTCCAAAATTGCTTTATAAGGTAGCAAAATATTTCGAAATAGGTTCATAGCTATCTCATGTTATTTAAAATCATTGAAAATTGGTTGAGCATAATTTTATACTTGTCTAAATAATTAACAACTAGTTTTTAGACCATCCATGTTGCTCAAAATGACTAAAAGTTAGCTGATAGTCATTAAAAACTTGTCTAAATGTATAAGGACTAGTTTATAGCAAGTCCAGGTTGCCCAGAATAACTGAAAACTGCACCAACACTGTCTAAAATTGGTTTATAAGGTAGCAAAATTATTCAAAATGATTGGAAATAAGTTGATAGCCGTCTCATGTTATTCCAAATCATTGAAAACTGGTTGAGCATAATTTTATACTTATCTAAATGATTAACAACTAGTTTTTAGACAATCCATGTTGCTCAAAATGACTAAAAATTAGTTGGTAGTCATTAAAAACTTGTCTAAATGAATAGGGACTAGTTTATAGCAAGTCCAAGTTCACCTAGTTTTGCATTAGCACTGTCACTAGAGCTAACACAAGACCTAGACTAGTCTTGAGAGACTAAATGCGACTAAATCTACTGCTATAGCCTTCACTTCGAACTGTTTCGACTTTGTATTAAAATAATATAGACTTCTAACATCCTTCGTTTGAAAAATTTATTGAATTACATTTCAGGAGGTGAGATATTATCATTTTCTGGGGTGTATGCAGACTTTATTGTATCACTGTATTTTCGTAACGTTTCTAAAGCTGCTGGAAAGTCCGCATAATCGAGGGCGTTTTGGATATCTATAGTTTCTATATGTTGTGATCCATCAAAGTTTATTTACTTTTTGGTCCATCCATTGCCAGATTAAATTAGTCAATGAATCATTCATGTTCTGCTGATAGGGTTGGTTATTCTGAAGTTCTAACTGAGATGTTATTGGAACTGGGTTCTAATACATAGTTAGATGTCTTCATTAGTTGAGTATCTTGCGGTAATCGAGTTTTCAATTTGATGAGATGATCGCTCAATGCTTCTTTCTTTAGCATCAGCTATGAATATAAGTTATGATGCGGTTTTTGGAGATGTGGCACCCCAATATGACATAAAGATAGATCTTACTGGGTTTAATTATGCACCAATCCACGTTGATTCTAGTTTTTTGTATTTTGCACTACAAATATTAATTTTAAATATAATTTTTTTATCTTTTAGTATCACACACAACAGACGACATGATATTTCAATGGGATCCAGATGTTCCACTTGTAGTTGATGAGAATATTGAATTACCTCAGTTGGCACTCGAAAAGAATTACACGGCAGATTGTACTCAAGTTTATTCAACAGGTAACCCAATAAAAACAATTTAATCCAAAAAATAAATGATTTAAATTAATTTTTAAGGAAACTTTACTTGCTTAGAAGTCGTCTTTTTGCTAAAACGCCGCTTAGGTTATTATTTATTCCACACTTACGTCCCAACATGTTTAATTGTAATCATGTCTGTAAGATGAATTAATTGATGTAATTCCAATTTTTTAATCAATTTTTATTTCAAGTGGATATCGTTTTGGATACAACCCGAAGCGGCACCAGCTCGTGTAACTTTAGGGGTAACCTCACTTCTCACTTTATCAACTCAACACGCTAAAAGTCAAGCTGCTCTTCCGCCCGTTTCTTATTTAAAAGCTGTTGATGCTTTTATGTCCGTTTGTACGATGTATGATTAAAATGAATTAAATGTAACAAAATTGGATTAATTTTTTTTTTGAATTTTAGTTTTGTGTTTATGGCTTTGATGGAATATTGCTTGGTAAATATAGTTCTTGGCGATAACACCGGGCAAAAACCACAACCACCGCCGAAAACCGAACCGGTTTCAGAACCACGCGAAAATTCATTTTTATTATCTTCAGCTCCGAAAAAACCACCACCTTTAACACCGGCTCAAAAAGCGAGAAGACGAGCGATTAATATCGATAAATTTTCGAGGGGATTTTTCCCGTTTCTTTTTACGGTTTTAAACGTTACCTATTGGATTTTATTTTACGAATACATCTAATTTAATGTAGAATTAAAAAAAATCGTTATTATTAATAGATGTAAAACAAAAAGATGTGTTTAACGTTTCTTAGAATGTTACTGTTTTAGAAATAAATTCGATTCTGTGATGTAATCCTCAATTACTTTTCAATTCAAACTTTTAGGTACTCATTTACAAAAAAAAATCATTTCAAATGGATTTTTAATAGATGGATACATGGACTAATCGAAAATTAATCAAAGCTTATATTTTAGGAATAAATTAACTCAACTCATTGTGTGTATATAAAGAGGAAAAAAATTGAAAAATTCTAAGTTGGTGCAAAGTTTGGTTTAAAATGAAATCGGTTTTAATTTTTCTTGTTTTCGCCTTTGCAGTTAAAGGGGAGGTAATTTTTTATAACATTTTTTTAATAATAATTTTATATTTACAATTTTAGATGACCCTTCAAGAATATGTTGCTGATTTACAAACTAAAATGACTGATGTAGGATTATCTTGTGCTGAAAAATTGGATATAAGTGATGGTATTGTTTAAACAGTTATTTATATATCGATCCTCCAAGTCTTCCTCTCTTCCTTCCTTGATTGAAATCTTCCTCATGGCATTTGTTGTACTTAGCCGTACCATATCAGCTGTTTTTTCTTGATGTCTTCTATAATTGTTTCTTTGATATTTACTATTTGTAACACGTTCTCGTTTGTTTTTCGTTGTTTTCTCGATATTCTGCATGATCCTAAGCTCTCTATTGCGTTGATTTCGGTTACATCCAGTCTAATCTGGTTGTCAAATACCATTAAACTTTATTGTAGGCAAATTTGTTTGTTAATCTTTGAAAATCAAAAGAAAACTTGTGGTTTCATCTGCACTACAAGTTTTGACTACAAATTTCTGTAAAACGCTTTTTTTAATACTCCACCATTCACAGGAATTAGTAACATTTAGGAGTTGTAAATGCGACTATTCGGGGTGTCCGGTTCAGGTTTTAATTAAAGAAACAACTTTTTAAAAAGCTAATATTTCGGTTATTTATTGTAACCTTCCTCAGAGCATTTTTTATTGTTATTTTTTGAAACTAACAATTGTAGAACAACCGAAAAACATCATAATTAACGGATCATAAAGGATCAAACGAACTATTAACACAACTGGATGAATCAACGTGCGTACAAGATGTCTGACCTCTTGTTGGTCAGACTTTTCTGCATCGTTTTAGGAGTTGGACACCAAAATAATCAAGTTCAACCCCAATACGACTTTTTTCACTGAATACAACTTTATTTATATCAGGTTTGTCATTAGCAACCTCATTGTAACAATCCCAATACGATATGTAAAATCTCTTGTTGCAGTTTCGTCTAATTTGCTTCTCTTCGTTTATAATTCATCATCACATTCATTACTAGCAGAACTATCGCTGTTATCACTTTCGATTATTAATTAAAGTATCCTCTTCTTAATGCAACAAGCCGTTTTGAAAAATCGCTTTTAGTTTTTGAGAAATAAATTTTTGAAATGATAAACAACTTTTTCGAATTTTACAATTTTCGCCGATTAAGTTTAAAAAATTAGTATAAAATCCAGTTCTTGGAATATGAGTTTGAAAATTTCCCAAAGTGTTAATAAAAGTGTCCTCTTTCCAATGAACCCACCCGTTTTGAAAAATAACTTTTAGTTTTTGAGAAAACAATATTTGAAGTTTTGATAAAATTTTCTATGTTGCAATTTTCATCGATAATTTTATAGGTACAATTAATTTCTTGAAGGATCCCTTTTTTTATGGATTGATGACATGAACCTTATTTTCCATTCTTCTGGATCGATTTTCCCTTTATACATCTCATGAAGAGTGTTCCGTTCTTTACTCATTTAGCTTTAATGTTTCCCAGTTCACTTAACTCTATATTTATTGGTTGTGGCTCTTTTTTGTGTGATTGAGGTTTTGTCGCTTTAAGTATAGGATGCAGATTTAAAAATCCTATTCAACGGTGTAGCTAAGTAAAAAGTGACCATTTCGACTCTGTTATATCACCTTTTTTATAATTTATTTCAGCGGCAATGGAAGAATTAACTCAAAAAAAAATTCCAACGGAGCACGATGGAAAATGTGTAATTCATTGTATCAACACTCATTTTGGATTTGTATGAAATCAATAATTATTTAAATCAATTTTTTATTGCCTCTTCCCATTTTTTTAGATGAATGATAAAGGCTCCTTTGATAAAGATAAAATTCTGGAATTCTTCTCAAGTTTAAAAGCAATTGATGCCGGAATATACAATAACATAGTAGAAGTAGGAGATATTTGCGGCGGTAATTAATAAATAATTAATTCTGTTATTTAAAATTATTTATTTATGTCTTTTTTGTGTAGTGATTAAACATGATGACCCATGTGAAACTTCAGCTGAAGGCGTAAAATGCACCATGGTTGAAATGAAAAAACGTGGTGTTACTGAAGCAATTTTTGAAATTTAACCGATATTCCGATTTTATTAATGTTTCTTGTTAATTGAGTATTACGCACTAAAATAGATATTACATAGCAGCATTATCGACGAGTTTCAATTAAAAAGATCCCAACCCATCCATTACATCAAACCGCAATTACAAAAAAAGCATTACAAAACAACTTTGCAAAAAAAAAGTAATAAACGAAACTCATAACCTGTTATTTACTTTTTTTCTGGCAAATATACCGTGTATGCAGAAATAATTCAGCACAGGAAACAATTAGAAGATGTAATCGTAATTACAATTTTAATTTTTCGTTCCCCCCCGTAACCTTGATCGACAACCATATAAAAGACATGGGACGTTTTAATAGATATCAAATAGTAAAGTGAGAAATACAGAATGAAATCGTTTCTCGTAGTGTTTCTTGTTGTTATTGCAGCGGCTTTTGCTGTAAGTTCAAAATTATTTTTGTGCCAATTCAATTAATTTAATTTTTTTTTAGGACGAAAAAGAATTTGTCGCCGAATTTAAAGCACTCATAAAAGATGTTGGGACGAAATGTTTAAGCGAAGTTGGAGCTACAAACGGTAAATAAACTTAAATTTTAATCCAATCTAATTAATCGAATCCTATTTTATAGATGATTTAGATTCTTTAATAATGAAGAAAGAAATCCCAACGAAACACGAAGGAATGTGTCTTATTTTGTGCATGCATAAACATTGGGGAATTGTAAGATTTTAATAATAAAATAATTTCGTTAATAATTTAATTATTTTTAGCAAACAGCCGATGGTAAAATGGATTTAGAAGCTGGACTTAAATCTATAGCCCCACTAAAAGAATTTGATGCCGATGCTTACTCTAAAGCAACAACTGTTTTTAAAACTTGTCACGAAAAAGGTTACAAATTAATTTAAATGATTTATAAAAAAATTTAATCATTTTATTTTAGTTAAGGAAGATAGTGATCCTTGTGTTACCGCTACTCATATGGCTAAATGTGGCAAAGAAGAAAGCGAAAAATTAGGACTCCACGAAAATTATGACATTTAAAACTAAAAAATCCGATTTATTGTTATTAAACTGTTATTTAGATCATACTTTTTTAGATCGATTTTTGATAGATGTAAAACGTTTTTAATTAAATGTTATAAAGCAGTACACTTTTTTGTTTTATTATGTAAATAACACTTTATTATTTTGTTGTGTCATTCAGGAAATAACACGTTGTATAACTTTTAATAAGTTTTCAAAAAAACTCATTATCACAATTACATTGAATCCGCATCATTGAATGCGAAACAATGTTACAAAGGATTACATAAAAACTTATTGAGTTGATAAAATCTTATTTTTTAATAATAAACTNGTTTTTTCTTGATGTCTTCTATAATTGTTTCTTTGATATTTACTATTTGTAACACGTTCTCGTTTGTTTTTCGTTGTTTTCTCGATATTCTGCATGATCCTAAGCTCTCTATTGCGTTGATTTCGGTTACATCCAGTCTAATCTGGTTGTCAAATATCATTAAACTTTATTGTAGGCAAATTTTTTTGTTAATCTTTGAGAATCAAAAGAAAACTTGTGGTTTCATCTGCACTACAAGTTTTGACTACAAATTTCTGTAAAACGCTTTTTTTAAATACTCCACCATTCGCAGGAATTAGTATCTCTTTTATCTCTTTTAGGAGTTGGACACCTAAATAATCAAGTTCAACCCCAATACGACTTTTTTCATTCAATACAACTTTATTTATATCAGGTTTGTCATTAGCAACCTCATTGTAACAATCCCAATACGATATGTAAAATGTCTTGTTGCAGTTTCGTCTAGTTTCCTTCTCTTCGTTTGTAATTCATCAAAACATTCATTACTAGCAGAACTATCGCTGTTATCACTTTCGATTATTAATTAAAATATCTTCTTCTTAATGCAACAAGCCGTTTTGAAAAATCGCATTTAGTTTTTGAGAAATAAATTTTTGAAATGATCGACAATTTTTTCGAATTTTGCAATTTTCGCCATTNGTTTTTTCTTGATGTCTTCTATAATTGTTTCTTTGATATTTACTATTTGTAACACGTTCTCGTTTGTTTTTCGTTGTTTTCTCGATATTCTGCATGATCCTAAGCTCTCTATTGCGTTGATTTCGGTTACATCCAGTCTAATCTGGTTGTCAAATACCATTAAACTTTATTGTAGGCAAATTTGTTTGTTAATCTTTGAAAATCAAAAGAAAACTTGTGGTTTCATCTGCACTACAAGTTTTGACTACAAATTTCTGTAAAACGCTTTTTTTAATACTCCACCATTCACAGGAATTAGTAACATTTAGGAGTTGTAAATGCGACTATTCGGGGTGTCCGGTTCAGGTTTTAATTAAAGAAACAACTTTTTAAAAAGCTAATATTTCGGTTATTTATTGTAACCTTCCTCAGAGCATTTTTTATTGTTATTTTTTGAAACTAACAATTGTAGAACAACCGAAAAACATCATAATTAACGGATCATAAAGGATCAAACGAACTATTAACACAACTGGATGAATCAACGTGCGTACAAGATGTCTGACCTCTTGTTGGTCAGACTTTTCTGCATCGTTTTAGGAGTTGGACACCAAAATAATCAAGTTCAACCCCAATACGACTTTTTTCACTGAATACAACTTTATTTATATCAGGTTTGTCATTAGCAACCTCATTGTAACAATCCCAATACGATATGTAAAATCTCTTGTTGCAGTTTCGTCTAATTTGCTTCTCTTCGTTTATAATTCATCATCACATTCATTACTAGCAGAACTATCGCTGTTATCACTTTCGATTATTAATTAAAGTATCCTCTTCTTAATGCAACAAGCCGTTTTGAAAAATCGCTTTTAGTTTTTGAGAAATAAATTTTTGAAATGATAAACAACTTTTTCGAATTTTACAATTTTCGCCGATTAAGTTTAAAAAATTAGTATAAAATCCAGTTCTTGGAATATGAGTTTGAAAATTTCCCAAAGTGTTAATAAAAGTGTCCTCTTTCCAATGAACCAACCCGTTTTGAAAAATAACTTTTAGTTTTTGAGAAAACAATATTTGAAGTTTTGATAAAATTTTCGATGTTGCAATTTTCATCGATAACTTTCAAAATTCGCTATAAAATTAATTTCTTGAAGGATCCTTGTGGAAATATCACCAATTATTAATTAAAGTATCCTCTTTTTAATGCAACAAGCCGTTTTGAAAAATCGCTTTTAGTTTTTGAGAAATAAATTTTTGAAATGATCGACAAATTTTTCGAATTTTGCATTTTTCGCCGATTAAGTTTTAAAAATTCGTATAAAATCCATTTCTTGGAAAATGAGTATGAAAATTTTCCAACGTGTTAATAAAAGTGTCCTTTATCCAATGAACCAACCCGTTTTGAAAAATAACTTTTAGTTTTTGAGAAAACAATATTTGAAGTTTTGATAAAATTTTCATCGATAATTTTCAAAATTCGCTATAAAATTAATTTCTTGAAGGATCCTTGTGGAAATATCA